GGTGTAGTGGTGGTGGTGTGGTAGTGGTGTGGTGGTGTGGTGGTGGTGTAGTGGTGGTAGTGGTGGTGTGGTGGTAGTGGTGGTGTGGTGGTAGTGGTGGTGTGGTGATAGTGGTGCACGGCGCGGACGCTGCTGGGGTAGGAGCGGCTCGCGGTGGTTTCTTCATCGCTGCGCCGTTGCCCGCCGTGCGAGCGACGTAGCGAGTTGATCTGCCGCCAGTGTGGGGCGATGTGTGCACGAGTGGCAGCAGGTTGGCAGCAGCAGCAGCAGCAGTCTGCCGGGGCTCTGTCACCCTCACGCCCGCTCGCGGTTGTTTGTCCTGGGGACGAGGCTTGAGGTCGGGCCCCCCTGCATTGATTGAGAGCTGTGGCCTATTCCATTAAAAAAAATGTTCAAAACACGGCAAGGAACCAGGGTGCCTGTCTAAAACCCTCCACGCGTGCAATGGGATAATAATAATAGCTTGTGTGCACAGGTGAATTCGTAAATCCACATGCTCTCCTACCATGTCCTGGTCACCTTGCAGTCCGAAGCGCTTGGTGGGAGTTTTACAAATCTGCGTGATTCAGAAACCCTTGCATCCGAAGCGCTGGATGGATGCTCAACCACGCCCGGCTAATGAAGCGGAAATTAAATACCCGAGTAAACGCGTCTCCCTCTGCCTCTCCACCGCACGCAAATAAAACAATCCCTAGTGCAGCAGAACTACTCACGTCTCACACCAACACGAACCAGCGGCGTTCGCGAGGAAACGCTCGGCCGGATTCCGCCTCCGGGATTCGAATTGAGGACGGCGCATCGCGACCATTGCCCCAGGTCACTCTTGCAAATGAAACTTAACCTGGTCTCCATACTCCTTGGTTCTTTCGGTAAAGTCACGTAGGTAGAAATAATAGAAAATAAATCACGACATTTCGATCGCAACACAAGCGACCGTCATCAGGCGGAACCGATACAGCAAGACAACTGCTGATTTAGGAGAAAGATCTGCTAGCAAAAAGAGCTTATAAAGGGGTTTGGTGGGCTCAACCCCAGGGGTAAGTGGGCTGAGCCCACCAAAATCCTTTATAAGCTCTTGTTTTCCGCAGATCTTTCTCCTAAATCAACAGTTGTCCTGCTGTATCGGTTCCGCCTGATGACGGTCGCCTGTGTTGCGATCGAAACGTCGTGATCTATTATTTTTATACCCACGTGACTTTACCGAAAGAACCAAAGAGTATGGATTCCTGCAGTATTGAAAGCTTCAAATCAAGATTATCCTGGTCTCTTTGAGTTCTCACCTCGTTACGCAAAATAAACGTCAACTTCATCAGCAGTAAGGATTGTACAATACTGCTTGGGCTGCCAGATGTTATTGGCAAGGACACTCCATCTACAATATGGGGGCCGAGTCAATTCGAAATGTGATACAACATACACATATATTATGCCTTGCTGGCCAAACATTTCCCTTAATTACCAACAGCGATGCCTATGGGGTTTGATGTTTAGAGGTTGAGTGAGGCGGGGTGTTGTTGGTGGGCTGGTCGCTGTGGTATGAGTCTGGCTGCCTGAGTTCGATTCCCAGCCAAAGCAAACGACTTGATTCGTGAGCGACGTCTGAACCACGTCTAGACCCACCCCCCCACACCACCCTTCACCACCTCTGGTGAAGTATGGTTAAAACAAATACTCCCCTTGATAAACATGGGTGTGAGGAAACCTTCATCCATCATTGGATTGACAGTGGCCCGTGAATGAACATTGTTGTTAATGGCTTTGCACTGCAGTGCTTTCGACATACTATTGGAGTGAGTTCACAGTAAATGTTCTATAGACAACTCGCGACTTGGTGATGGACGGCCGTGACCTCCGATGGCTCAGAGGCAGCATGGCCACCCGGCCCCGGTCGCGGGATATGAACTTGACGTCCGTGCAAGGTGGAGCAAGGTGGTGTAAGGTGGAGCAATGTGGAGCAAGGTGGTGTAAGGTAGTGCAAGGTGGAGCAAGGTGGTGCAAGGTGGTTGTAAGCTAGTGCAAGGTGGTGCAAGGTGGAGCAAGATGGAGCAAGGTAGTGCAAGGTAGTGCAAGGTGGAGCAAGGTGGTGCATGGTGGTGCAAGGTGGTGCAAGGTGGTGCAAGGTGGAGCAAGGTGGGGCAAGGTAGTGCAAGGGGGTGCAAGGTGGAGCAAGGTGGAGCAAGGTGGTGCAAGGTAGTGCCAGGTGGAGCAAGGTGGTGCAAGGTGGTTGTAAGCTAGTGCAAGGTGGTGCAAGGTGGAGCAAGATGGAGCAAGGTAGTGCAAGGTAGTGCAAGTTGGAGCAAGGTGGTGCAAGGTAGTGCAAGGTGGTGCAAGGTGGTGCAAGGTGGAGCAAGGTGGAGCAAGGTAGTGCAAGGGGGTGCAAGGTGGAGCAAGGTGGTGCAAGGTAGTGCCAGGTGGTTGTAAGGTAGTGCAAGGTGGAGCAAGTTGGAGCAAGGTGGAGCAAGGTGGTGCAAGGTAGTGCAAGGTGGAACAAGTGGAGCAAGGTAGTGCCAGGTGGAGCAAGGTGGTGCAAGGTAGTGCCAGGTGGTGCAAGGTGGAGCAAGGTGGAGAAAGGTGGTGCACTCTTCACTCGGCTGTGGCTACTGTCGTTGCTCCATGCTTCTCCGTGATTCGAGTCATTCATCGCTGCTCATTCCACGTTCCTGTGATGAGGACCGTTTTTTTATTTTTTACAGAGAACAATTGATTGATTGTTGGCATCGCCTGCGTGATGCCCACCGTCGTGTACCGATTTTACTGACCAAAGAGATGTGATGGGCTGAGCGAATGATGGGATTTTGACTCGCACGCCGTCCAAGCGTCACGCCCGACCTGCGCGTGACGCGCCCGGGAGTCCAACTCGGGACGCCCCGCGTCACAGGACCGCTCACCACGTGACTCGGGCGCGTCACGTAAGCGGCAGGGCCGCTGGGTAGGGGGACCAGCAGGGCCCCGGCAAGCCACGCGGGACGAGCGACGGCCGCTTCCCCGCCACTCGCGGCGATGTAAAAATCGTCGGGAGTTGTTGGGGGAGGGGTGGGGGGGGGACTGAGAGAAAGTTCCCTGGGTGGGTTCCGTAGAACGGGCCACCGTCAAATGACTGCGCACGCAAACACTGTATACCACTGTATACAAAACATATGTAAACAATAATTCACTCGCATCGGAAAACTTTGTAATTTTAGTTACTTCTATAAACATAAGCGCGTTGATTAAACATTCCAACAGAATATTAATAAACGTCACTTTGCAGCTCTTCTCAATCAACTGCCGGATAAAGGCCTCGTCAGCCATGCGGATTGCGCATGGGGAGCCAGGGACCGACATGATATCACTCGCCGCTGATGGTAGCCACGACCGGGGATTGAACTCAGATACCTGGGTTCGTAGCGGAGTGCGTGAACAGCTGTGCCTTCTGCTCTGATACGTTACTGGAACGTAACCGATGTAACTTTGGCACTAGCCCACCCTACGAGGGTTCTACTACACAAGATGCCTCATCATCATTATTATCTCTGATCACTGTGAGTCACTAATAATTGCCGCATGGCAGTTATAATCAGTGAGTTGTTTTGAAGCCCGCACAAAGGGAAAACATGATTACACACACAGAGGACTCAGATATTTATTTATTTTCAAATAAGTAATATTGGCACGACTACTCCCTCTACACCGCAGATGGCGGAGTGTCCCCTAACCGGGTGGTTAGGCACGAGTTAGAGTTACATAACATAGGGGTCAGAGTTACGTGGTGTAGCACTTAGATTTCCGTGGTATTGCGGTTGGAATTCCGTGGTATGGTGGTTCGATTTCTGTGGTATTGCAGTTAGATTTCGGTGGTGTCGTGGTGAGATTTCCGTGGTATAGTGGTTAGAGTTCTGTGTGATCGTGATGAGAGTTCTGTGTGATCGTGATGAGAGTTCTGTGTGATCGTGATGAGAGTTCTGTGTGATCGTGATGAGAGTTCTGTGTGATCGTGATGAGAGTTCTGTGTGGTGGTGATGAGAGTTCTGTGTGATCGTGATGAGAGTTCTGTGTGATCGTGATGAGAGTTCTGTGTGATCGTGATGAGAGTTCTGTGTGATCGTGATGAGAGTTCTGTGTGATCGTGATGAGAGTTCTGTGTGGTCGTGATGAGAGTTCTGTGTGATCGTGATGAGAGTTCTGTGTGATCGTGATGAGAGTTCTGTGTGATCGTGATGAGAGTTCTGTGTGGTCGTGATGAGAGTTCTGTGTGATCGTGATGAGAGTTCTGTGTGATCGTTATTAGAGTTCTGTGTGATCGTGATGAGAGTTTCCACCCATCAGAGACCCCACGAGTGCTCTCCGGCACCCGTGGGGTCTCTGTAAACGCGTTTCTTGTCGTGTGTGAATATATCAGAAATGAGACTGCAACGTTCGCTACACGCGAGACCTCTCTCCTACACAAAGAGACGTTGAGACTCGGTGGAATTTTTGGTGGGTGTAGATTTCTAAAGTAATTAAACTCTCGCTGTAAGCTCGCCAACTGCGAACGCGGGCGCATGTGGGTATGCAGTTGGCGCGCGTGTCCATGAGCGCTTCCCAGAGGTTTTGCCACAGGGCGTTCTCCTCCAGCGGAACGCGGCAGCCGCTTGTCAGCGAGGGGAGATTCGGTCCAGCAGAGATTGCGAGTACCACGTCAACATTTTGGGGCACGTCGCACGCTTGTGGTAAAATTGCCGTGAGAGGGTGATCGATGCGATGTAAACACGCGTAATGAAACATGATTTAACAACGCACAAATATGCGTTGCACCGCACGAACCAAAGTTCTCAGCCTTATCCAGACCACCGGTTCAAAAGAACTGAACGCGTGGCCATTTTTCTTCATTTGGACCACCAACTCAAAGGGAGGTTCTGTAATTTTACGCGAATTTTGGCCTAGAACTAGCAACCACACAGCCGCACCGACTACACGGCCGTGGACGCATCGCATCGGCTTCGATAATGACGCTCGTCGCTGTCGCTGTGCCGACGACGCAGGCACGGTGGCCAAGTGCACGAACGAGGGCGAGGCGGTGGAGATCCCCTTCAGCTGGAACAACCCGTGCATCACGTGCGTCTGCAAGGTGAGAGGGACGTCGGCAGCGCGGCGTTCTCGGCGGCAACGCTCGATCCCCGCGGTCCCCGCCGGGGACTCTCCGTGCCCCCACGCTCGTCTTGATGTAATTGCTCCTCGTAACCTCGCGTATTGTTTCACGCTCAAACATTTGCGCGTAATTTGTTGCAGCTGGGCGTGCTCGCGCGAGCTAGACGTGCCGGCGGTGCGGTGCGCGAAGGCTCGCGCTCTCTCCTACACGTTTCACATTTAACCCCGAAATATAATTTACCGCGATGTAACCTCCCATTGCAACGGAAGCATCCTCCTGCGTTGTGACCGCTACTGGACGTGTCGACTGGACATCTTTTTTTTCATAGCTCATCGTATTTCTCCAGAATAAATAAATATTCTGGTTCTGATTCTGACGCCACTTTAATGGATGGAGGTAAACTGTGCACGAGATGCAACCGTTCACAAGCCTCTCCGTTGCTGCCATTTGGAGTGCCTCTCGTCTGGCACTGTATTCACGTTGCATGTTAACAATCCCACCAGCTACATCAGTTCAACTGTTTGAGCTCGCAGAACGTAGAGAGCCATAATAGCACCTCGTCACAGTGAGCGTGGAGCTAAGAAGATACATAAAACCTTTCTGGGACATTCGCAGTAGAGATTATTTAAAAAAAACTCCCTGCGGTTCGATCGCGATTCAGCGTCACAATTCAGTTCACGTCGTGGTGCTTGTGGCAGCCACTAGCCATGTAAACCATTCACAGTTCGTGCAACGTGTGAATAGAAAAGCGCCATTCTTGGACACGCGATTCGATGGCTGTGCCGTGAGATAAAGGATTGATGTGAACAGAGGACTCTCATGATCACTCGACTTCCTGCTGTGAACAAGCAACATGTTCACCTACGCACGGGCTAATTTACATCCTTTGGCAACTCATTGGTAGATTTTTTTTAATGTAATAATACATAATTCACATCCCTTTGTCAATCTGCTGCTGGACTAAGGCCTCCTTACGACGTGCCGGTTATGGTGATAGTTTGGTCAGTGTGAGCTGGTGAAGACGGGATCAGGAATGGTTCAAAAATCACACGACGCTCATGCTCGCCGTGGCCGGGAATCAAACCCAGGTCTCCACTGTTACCGCTCCTCCATGTTAAAAAAGTCTGCTCCGTCCCATCCATATCATCGACGTTGAGAACATATTTTGCCAGATTCCACCAAAGATCCCCCAAGGTGCTTCTAACGATGTCAGGGCGTAGGCAGGATGGCGTTGGTGCCGTCACGTCGGCGTGTCCTGGTGCCAGGGAGGTCTCCAGCAGGAGTTTCCACTCCGAGCCCAAGATCAGTCAGCCGTCACATGACTCAGAAGTCCATGGGGGCAAGCTGTGAATACAGCCTGAGTGCGTGGTGCCCTGAGTGGCGTGGTGCGCTGAGTGGCGTGGTGCCCTGAGTGGCGTGGTGCCCTGAGTGGCGTGGTGTGCTGAGTGACGTGGTGCGCTGAGTGACGTGGTGTGCTGAGTGGCATGGTGTGCTGAGTGGCATGGTGCGCTGAGTGGCGTGGTGCGCTGAGTGCGTGGTGCCCTGAGTGGCGTGGTGCGCTGAGTGGCGTGGTGCCCTGAGTTGCGTGGTACGCTGAGTGCGTGGTGCGCTGAGTGGCGTGGTGCCCTGAGTGGCGTGGTGCCCTGAGTGGCGTGGTGCCCTGAGTGACGTGGTGCGCTGAGTGGCGTGGTGCCCTGAGTTGCGTGGTACGCTGAGTGCGTGGTGCGCTGAGTGGCGTGGTGCCCTGAGTGGCGTGGTGCCCTGAGTGGCGTGGTGCCCTGAGTGACGTGGTGCGCTGAGTGGCGTGGTGCCCTGAGTTGCGTGGTGCGCTGAGTGCGTGGTGCGCTGAGTGGCGTGGTGCCCTGAGTGGCGTGGTGCCCTGAGTGGCGTGGTGCCCTGAGTGACGTGGTGCGCTGAGTGGCCTGATGCCCTGAGTTGCGTGGTGCGCTGAGTGGTACCCTGAGTGGCGTGGTGTGCTGAGTGGCGTGGTGCGCTGAGTGGCGTGGTGTGCTGAGTGGCGTGGTGCCCTGAGTGGCGTGGTACCCTGAGTGGCGTGGTGCCTTGAGTGGCGTGGTGCCCTGAGTGGCGTGGTGCCCTGAGTGGCGTGGTGCATTGAGTGGCGTGGTGCCCTGAGTGGCGTGGTGCCCTGAGTGGCGTGGTGTGCTGAGTGACGTGGTGCCCTGAGTGGCGTGGTGTGCTGAGTGACGTGGTGCGCTGAGTTGCGTGGTGCGCTGAGCGGCGTGGTGCGTCGCTTCGTCCAGGGCACGCACTGGAGCAGGCGTATCAGTGCTCGAGGCAGGTAATGATTAACTCCCCTTCGCCCAGCGATTCAATTATCTGTCATGATTTAGGGCTGTAATTAGATTCGCAAAGTGATTTACATCGGTCTTGTTTTTACTGTATTGTTTTTTTTTATTGCATGCGGTATGTTCTCTCCCGTTTGCTTCGTCTGATTTATATTTAATAAATTGAAGGGACATTCGCACATCATTTGCAGTGGAATTGTATGCATTAGCAATCACCCAGTCTCGAGACGCACATTTCTTGCGCACGTAACTTGCATGCCATAATACATTTCAATCGACGAATTGGTACGTGAACTCTTTTCTCTTGCACCTTCAAAAGTTGCTGTCTGTTGCTGTCCACATGGCGTTGTTGGGCCTTTTGGCCCGTGTGCGCCACATCAGTTGTATAGCGAGGACACCCCCTGCGCTCGTCCAATCGTTCAAATCACCGACAGCCTCTCGGCGATCGCTTTGCGCCCAAGTTGAGAGTTGGCTTCAGGCGGCAGCCTCCACCCCAGCGCAGCGCGCTCCGCCTCGTTCCTCAGCACGGCTCTGCCGGGCCAAGCGCTCCCTCGTGACGCAGAGGCAGCCACGCCGTGCTGCCTGCACTTATATTCTGAAACGATGAGTTTTTGTTTCGGCAATGTTTTTTTTTTTAAATATATAAACAATTAAGCGAATCCCACCTAGCGCGCCCGTAATTTTACTCTGTTTTGACGACTTGTCCGCGCCGTTTCTCTATTGTGTTGTGCTTTATAAATGTTTCTCTTTAATGAGATAGGAATGCGCGCAGTGCCCACAGGCAAAGCCGAGAGACAGACAGGCACACACAGGGCAGGCTAATAGGTGGGATTATTCAGAACCTTCAAAGAAAGTCTTTAACCACTGGAATTCACATTTTCTTAGAAAGCAAACAGAAGATCCGCTCTCTGTAAGTGATCAGGAAGGAGTAATGCTCAACCGCTCTCATTCACTTGCGTCGAGTGAGGCTTCTCTGGGTTCCCCTGAAGCAACTGTGGTGTTCCCTTCGCACACTCGACACCTTATACATCCGCGCGCCCACCTGCCCGGGACAATATCAGTCGTGGTGGTGCTGCCCGTCAAGTGTCGAGGCGACATCCCTCCTCGACTCGCCATGACCGAGTCGAGCATCATCGCGGGGCGCTTTCAGACGCGTTTCTGCGGCCGTCTGGAACGCTTTTGCTTCATATATTAGGAAGCCACTGGAACAATGCGCTTTTAAATAATCTCAATTGTTTCGAACTGCTTATTGTGTTTAGTTTGTTGTCCTGCCCCCACACCTCCGAATAGCACGGTTGTCTACGTACGGTGCGAAATAAGTTCAACGTCCATACAGATGAGACCACAGGAAGGGCCGCCATCTCTGGGGTACAAACCACCAAGGAAGATTTGTCAGCTGGATTTGAATCAGAATGTTTATTTAGACTGCAGGAATCCCATGAGGTCTGAGGCTCTTTTTTTTTACTTACATCCAGGAGCATCGTCTCGAGAGGAACAATTATCGGTATATTGTGTTTGGGAAACTCAGACTAAGAATCGAGACTTGCAATCGCCCGGCAAGACTTACAGATGTCCGGGGGCCCAGCAGCTACCTCAGAAAGAGAGGATCATTCGTGGGGATACCAGGACACGTGGCAAACCTCGCGACGCGTCTCGCCGTGGCCGTTCGAGCGAGAGAAAGACACCGGCCTCGATGTCCAACCGCGGATTTTCTCTTGCTCGACCAAATCTTCATCCTCGGCCCTCGAGGTGCGCTCGGTCGCTGGAGGGGCGATCCATCGCACGGCTCCAAGCCCCTCGGACAAAGATCCCCCGTGTAGCCTGCGCAGACTGTTGGGGCAAGTGCTGTTAGCGAGTAGCACCTGTGAAGGCCGGCACTGTGGCACACGAGGGGGTGAATGGCCAGCACCACACCCGGCCGCCTTTGTCTCCCCAGTGGCGATGTTTACTACACACCGCACCAGGTAATCATTTGAGGCTGAGTCGACCGAGGGCAGGCCCAGGACCGGTTCAGTTATTCGTCACTGGTGTTGGCCGTGAGCAGGAATCGAACTCGGGGTTTATAGTGCAGAGTGCTCCCTGACCCCTCACGCCGGGCTGGCGTCTGAGAGACATTTAAAAAGCGGCTGCCAAGAACAACAAATGATTAAGTTGTAACGCGAGGATCTGAACAATCCCGCTCATTAATTGTGTTCTCTGTGTGTGTGTCTGCGTGTGGTTCCATTCTCGAGCTCGCTAACAGCACTTGCCCCAGCAGTCTGTTAAGGGTAGACGGGGGATCTTTGTCTTTGCTTCCATTCTGAACAGAACTACTCAGAACCGATTGTTTCTGGGACGAAGTAAGTGACGCGCGGTGTTTGTCGCGAGGCAAATTGGCCCGACGGAGTTAAAGTTCCTCCCAATTCGACATCCCTCCTGTTGGGTGCGCTCTTCCCGGCATTGCGGAGGCGACAGAGCAGGTGCGAGCTCTGGGAACGCAAAGAGCGGCCCGAAACCTGCACGCGCGATGACCCCATCGCCACGTGCTCGTCTCGCAATGTCCTCGGCGAGCTTCGAGACCCCCCCCCCCGCCCGCCCCTTCTCACAAGAGCGAATCCCGACTTGGCAATCGAAGAGAAGCCTCGCGAGACGCAGACTCCGTCGAGTGCGCATCGACGGAGCCGGACGCGGGCAACTCTCAGCCGGCACCCGCGTGGCTGCCGTGGAGCAAGCGGAGTCCCTGCTGCAGCAAGCGGAGTCCCTGCTGCAGCAAGCGGAGTCCCTGCTGCAGCAAGCGGAGTCCCTGCTGCAGCTAGCGGAGTCCCTGATGGAGCAAGCGGAGTCCCTGCTGCAGCTAGCGGAGTCCCTGCTGCTGCTAGCAGAGTCCCTGCTGCAGCTAGCGGAGTCCCTGATGGAGCAAGCGGAGTCCCTGATGGAGCAAGCGGAGTCCCTGCTGCAGCTAGCGGAGTCCCTGCTGCAGCTAGCGGAGTCCCTGCTGCAGCTAGCGGAGTCCCTGCTGCAGCAAGCGGAGTCCCTGCTGCAGCTAGCGGAGTCCCTGCTGCAGCTAGCGGAGTCCCTGCTGCAGCTAGCGGAGTCCCTGCTGCAGCAAGCGGAGTCCCTGCTGCAGCTAGCGGAGTCCCTGCTGCAGATAGCGGAGTCCCTGCTGCAGCTAGCGGAGTCCCTGCTGCAGCAAGCGGAGTCCCTGCTGCAGCTATCGGAGTCCCTGCTGCAGCAAGCGGCGTCGCTGATGCAGCGAGCGGAGTCCCTGATGGAGCAAGCGGAGTCCCTGATGGAGCAAGCGGAGTCCCTGCTGCAGCTAGCGGAGTCCCTGCTGCAGCTAGCGGAGTCCCTGATGGAGCAAGCGGAGTCCCTGCTGCAGCAAGCGGAGTCCCTGCTGCAGCAAGCGGAGTCCCTGCTGCAGCTAGCGGAGTCCCTGCTGCAGCAAGCGGAGTCCCTGCTGCAGCAAGCGGAGTCCCTGCTGCAGCTAGCGGAGTCCCTGATGGAGCAAGCGGAGTCCCTGCTGCAGCAAGCGGAGTCCCTGCTGCAGCAAGCGGAGTCCCTGCTGCAGCAAGCGGAGTCCCTGATGCAGCGAGCGGCGCCTCTCCAATCCGCGTGTCGAGAGAGGCCCAGCAGTGGCGTGCGTGGTCACGCAGTCACGCGGCCACGCTCTCACTCGCTTTAGTCCTGTCCCAGTTTGTTCGTACTCAACTATTCGTCATGCTTATAGTCATGCGAAACTGGAGAGATGTTTGGAAAGCACGTGCTATATTGAGCAATTGTGAATTTAATTAAAATGCGGATGTCATGTGGACGTGTATAGAGTGCGTTACATTGCCGTTCGTATTCTTTGGGTCTTTCGGTAAAGTCACGTAGATAGGTTCAAAGAAAATAACAAAAAACTACGACGTTTCGATCGCTTGTGTTGCGATCGAAACGTCGTAGTTTTTTGTTATTTTCTTTGAACCTATCTACGTGACTTTACCGAAAGACCCAAAGAATATGAATTCCTGTAGTCACGAAAACTTTAAGTCAAGATTTATTGCTGTTCGTGTTTGCGACATCGACATCATCTTCCTCATCACTATCCACGTCTTTATTTAAATACACCTCGCTACTGCAACGATACCGCCTTGATTTGCTAGATGAGGTCATCGACTCGAGGCTTATCTCGGAGTCCGCGTGCTCCTGCTGCACAGGGGGAATGGGCCCTGTCGCTCGTCTTGCACCGTCGTTGAAGACCTAAAGCGCCGATCGTGAAACTCCTCCACCCAACGTGGAGAATGTTCGATCGTTGGCAAACGCAGTCCGAATCTTTATAAATGGCTGAGATGTTGTGGAGACATAATGTGCACGTGTTGTTCATGAGTCATAATGTCCACGTGTTGTTCATGAGCCATAATGTGCACGTGTTGTTCATGAGCCATAATGTGCACGTGTTGTTCATGAGCCATGATGTGCACGTGTTGTTCATGAGACATAATGTGCACGTGTTGTCCATGAGTCATAATGTGCACGTGTTGTTCATGAGCCATAATGTGCACGTGTTGTTCATGAGTCATAATGTGCACGTGTTGTTCATGAGTCATAATGTCCACGTGTTGTTCATGAGCCATAATGTGCACGTGTTGTTCATGAGCCATAATGTGCACGTGTTGTTCATGAGCCATAATGTCCACGTGTTGTTCATGAGCCATAATGTGCACGTGTTGTTCATGAGCCATAATGTGCACGTGTTGTTCATGAGCCATAATGTGCACGTGTTGTTCATGAGTCACAATGTGCACGTGTTGTTCATGAGACATAATGTGCACGTGTAGTTCATGAGCCATAATGTGCACGTGTTGTTCATGAGTCATAATGTGCACGTGTTGTTCATGAGTCATAATGTGCACGTGTTGTTCATGAGTCATAATGTGCACGTGTTGTTCATGAGTCATAATGTGCACGTGTTGTTCATGAGTCATAATGTGCACGTGTTGTTCATGAGCGTCTACCGTCGTAGTACTTGTCGGTGTTTGATGCCTTACCTTGGCTGTCTACGCTGAAGCCACCTCACTCGGCCGACGTTCCGTGACCACCCCTCTGCATGAAGGACAGTGGCGGCTTGGCATTGGCAGCCACGACCGGTGGCAGTGTCACCGCGGTGTCGAGATGTTAACTCCCTCGCCTGGTGTGTAGGAGGTTGTGGGTTCGACCCCGACCCCTGACCCCTGTTGTATATTTCAAGCCGGAGTGTCTCTCTCCCCGTGGTTGCGTGGATTTTTATTCGGGTCTTCCGGTTCCCCCCCCCCCCCGATTAGAGTATTTGGCTGCTATACATTTCCACATGATAAGCCACTTTCGTTGAGTTATCATTTGTGGGCAGGTCGCTTCTGAAAAAATGAGCTGCATAGCTCAGTGAGCCTTACCTGGTAAAATAACAAAAAATGTTGACTCATCTTCTGCAAGCCAACACCCTGCTCCGTCGTCGTCTGTGCGCGAAACGAAGAAGCTGCTCACGAACCATCTCGCGCTGTTGGATTCTGAGACGTACAATGGGTGGAGCTCTCGATGCTCCACACGCGACGGACTTGAGACGAGTGGCAGAACAAACGAGGAGACGGACACGAAGGGCGCGCCCCACGACACCTCGCGCCTGCCGGGAGGGGGGGGAGAGCCACTTTCATCGTGACAGTGGCGACGTGGCCAGGGACGGGGTCACACACAGACCGGCGCTAGGCACACAGCACACACACAGGGCGCACACACACAGAGCACACACACAGGGCACACACACACACAGCACACACACAGAGCACACACACACACAGGGCGCACACACAGCACACACACACAGCACACACACACAGAGCACACACACACAGAGCACACACACACACACAGGGCACACACACACACAGAGCACACACACACACAGGGCGCACACACACAGAGCACACACACACAGAGCACACACACATGGCACACACACACAGCACACACACAGCACACACACACAGCACACACACAGGGCACACACACAGAGCACACACACACACAGGGCACACACACACAGCACACACACACAGCACACAGGGCACACACACACACAGCACACACACACAGGGCACACACACACACAGCACACACACACACACAGGGCGCACACGCACACAGGGCACACACACACACAGGGCGCACACACACACAGGGCACACACACACACAGGGCACACACACACACACAGGGCACACACACACACAGGGCGCACACACACAGAGCACACATATGGAGCACACACACAGAGCACACACACAGGGCGCACACACACACAGAGCACAGACATGGAGCACACACACAGAGCACACACACACACTAAGGGCGCACACACACACACACATGGAACACACACACACACAGAGCACACACACACACATAGGAAGCACACACACACACATGGAACACACACACAGGGAGCACACACACATGAAACACACACACACAGGGCACATTGTTCTGAGAGAGAGAGACTCAAAATTCGGCTTCCTATGCCGTGCCAATCCCCTGCACTCCTCCTGCAGCCTAAACACACGGGCACACTCTCTCTCTCTCCCAGCCTTCATCCCACACCCAGGAGAAAACAAAGTAGTGGGAATCAAGTGTGCGTTAGCACACTTGATTCCCACGAATCAAGTGTGCGTTAGCACACTTGATTCGTGCGTGTTAACACGCTTGTCCACGTGCACGTGGCAGTCTGTGATATCACCCAGGGACACCGCGTGGCTGCCTCGTACGCTCGGGGCATCCCTGTCCAATCCGTCGTGCGATCCTCACCATCGGCATCGCCATCACCGGAGTGTCGCAGTGATAGCCCGGCGACCCGAGTTCAAATCCCGCTCACGGTCCTGAGCCTCCCCTAGGTCGACTCAACCACAAATGAGGAGCTGGTCCGTTGTGTAAAAAACACCGCCACTGGGGAGCCAAACACCCTACCGTGTGCCGTGCCGGCCTTCATAGGTGCTCTCTAACAACGCTTGCCCTAACAGTCTGTCCAGGCTACGCGGGGATCATTATCTTTGGTGATGGAGGTGGCGGTGGTGGTGGTGGTGGTGTGACCGTGCGTGCATCCGTGCCGTGCGTCCCCAGAGCGGCGAGGTGACGTGCGAGCGGGAGAAATGCAGCCCCGTGCCCAGCGACTGCCTGCTCGTGGTCAAGCAGCGCGGGGCTTGCTGCCTCGAGTGCCAAGGTACCACCACCTCCACCACCTCCACCATCACCGCCACCACCTCCACCACCACCATCACCACCTCCACCACCTCCACCACCACCATCACCACCTCCACCACCTCCACCATCACCGCCACCACCTCCACCACCTCCACCACCACCATCACCGCCACCACCTCCACCACCTCCACCACCACCATCACCGCCACCACCTCCCCCACCACCGCCACCACCATCACCGCCACCACCTCCATCACCGCCGGCACCGCCTGCACCACCGCCTGCACCACCGCCACCACCACCATCTGCGGCGTGTGGCGCAGGCTGCAACACGTGGCAGGGCTGCCGCCGGGCCCACGTCTCCCTGGATCCCCGCCCTTGATGCCGTGTGCTGCCCAGTGTGCTGACAATCACAGCACGTCTTTGGACAGAGCACATTATATTTAATTCTCATCAACACGGCGTAAGACAGCGGTAGCGATACACACCCTGCGGCACGCACACATTGCCTACGCGCCTCGGTATACCCGGCACAGCGATGCACTGGGAAATGTGACGTACGGCATCGCACGTGCGCCGTGACGTCACAGAAGCGGCCTCGTGAGGGAGACGCCCCCTGGGCTGCCCAGCCCTCACTCGGGACAAACAGCGGCGACAGCCGACAGCGCGAGAGTCATCAGTGGCACGTTCAGGGTTTACAGCCCATGCGTTGTAAATCCACTTTGATATTAATAGATTTACAGCCCTGTACATAAAGCCCCACAGCTATTGCGATTATGGGGCTTTTGACCATACTTCGCCACTCTGGTGAGTTCGGGTTCATGCAACGTCATAATATTTTCTCCTGAAAAATAAAAACCCTCATCCTCTAATGCCCAGGTTTACCAGTCTGGATAGACCGTGAGTAGGAATCGAACTCAGGTGGGCGGGTTCATAGCGAAGCGCGCAAACCACTGTACCACACCGATCCCACACCGCAGGGTGCCGCGTTGGCTCGGAGATGTTAACTCCCTCGCCTGGTACACAGGAGGTCGTGGGTTCGATCCCCACCCTGACACCTGCTGCTGTATATTTGGAGTTTCCACGCTCTCCCCGTGGTTGCGTTGATTTTTCTCCAGGTCCTCTGGTTTCCCCCTCCACATTAAAGAACATGCAATTAGAGTGCTTGGCTGCCGATTTAAATGTCCACTTGAAAAGCCACTTCGTTGAGCTATCATTTGTGGCCAGGTCGCTTCTGAAACCGAGCTCAATAGCTCAGTGGACATTATCTGCTTAAAAATAAAAAAAAATCGTGAAGATGTTGTGTAGATGCTGTATAGACGGTGTGTAGGCGTTGTATAGACGTTGTGTAGACGTTGTGTAGGCGTTGTGTAGGCGTTGTATAGACGTTGTATAGACGTTGTGTGGACGTTGTGTAGGCGTTGTGTAGATGCTTGGTAGACGTTGTGTAGGCGTTGTGTAGACGGTGTGTAGGCGTTGTGTAGACGTTGTGTGGACGTTGTGTAGACGTTGTGTGGACGTTGTGTAGACGTTGTGTAGATGCTGTGTGGACGTTGTGTAGGCGTTGTATAGACGTTGTGTAGGCGTTGTGTAGATGCTGTGTGGACGTTGTGTAGACGTTGTATAGACGTTGTGTAGGCGTTGTGTAGGCGTTGTGTAGACGTTGTGTGGACGTTGTGTAGACGTGAAGATGTTGTGTAGGCGTTGTGTAGACGTTGTATAGACGTTGTGTAGACGTTGTGTAGGCGTTGACTAGGCGTTGTGTAGATGCTGTATAGACGTGAAGATGTTGTGTAGACGTTGTATAGACGTTGTGTGGACGTCGTGTAGACGGTGTGTAGGCGTTGTGTGGGCGTTTGTTCGGGCACAATTGGGCAACAGGACTGTGGGCTCAAGCGTGACTCCCTCGCCCAAGAGACGCAATTTGAACACGGAAACTCTCTCCCCACCCTCTTGTTTGCTGGCGACGCGTACGTGGCTAGAGGCGCTCGTTCTCATGTCTAAACAAATCCCTCATTTTTTGCCTGTGATGTGGAAATAAATAACCAAGTAGCGACTCGGAGAGACCAAGAACCGGGCGCTTTGTGGGGATGCCAACGTGTGGGGTTCTGCACGCGCTTGGGTGTTCATTAATTGAAGGAAACGGAGTGAAATTTTGTTAGAAGCGGAACCGAGCCTCCGAACGAAGCAGCTGGCCCATTACGGCGTCCCAAATCTGTCTCCCGGCTGTGCGCAGCAACGCCACTCAAACCATTTGCTAAAAAAATGTTAAGCGCTTCTTCGGGTGCATTACTTTCACATACGCCGTACGTTCCATTATGAACCTTGTGGCCAGAACACACGTGTTAACAACGACACCGCGCTGTACAATGTGTATATAGCTCTCTGTCTCCCCGCCTTGTCTGGGGCCATCGAAGTGCGCGCGACACGGCGTGGAGCCGCCGCGGTTTGACGTGGGGCATGCGGGCGGCTTTGAAGGCGTTTCTCTCCACCCACTGTTACAACAACAGCGGCGACGAGCCACAGCAGGAGCAGCAGCAAGAGGAGGGGGGGGGAGTCATTAATTACCGTGCTTCAGTACGGGTGGCGCCAGGCTGGTCCCGCCACCAGCACTTACAGCAAACAGCGACACAAAAAATGAGAGCGAGGCACGCGTGGATTATTTACTCTCGCGTCCTGTGCCATTTAGAGCATCGCGAGAGGCCACGCGGAGAGGGGGGGAGGGGGTGGGAGGAAGGATGTCCCTCCCGCCAGGCAAACACGGCCCCTGCGCGCGCGCGCTCCTCGGCAGCCGCGTGCCCGGGGTGCAGGCGGCGTAGGAAGCGGCGCTGAGGAACCTGTGGGCAGCGCGCGACGCCGCAACGTGCCGAGAGAGAGACGCCACGCGGGGCAGAAGGCTGCCAAGCGCTCTGCAGAGGCGCGCCGTGACCCACGGCTCAGCCGACGCTCTCACGCTGCTTTGCTTAAAACGGCGACGGCAGACGCCGTCTTAATCGATGCGATGTAACCTTCGTGAACTATTACAGTAACTAATTATGAACAATGGCCCGGTTTCAGTTACGTTGGCCACATTAAGACGGCAGGCCTTGTGTGATGGTCCCCCATATCAGTTTGCATCCACCAGGGTCTCCTGATAACACTAAACTCAAAATATTTGCGAGCGCGTCACAGATAAGAAATGCACTTGGAGTTAGTATAACATTTTTTTGGTGCAAAACACAGATAAAGCACATTCCTCGAGTTAATGTTCAACGCGCGCTGAGCGCAGACACGCTAAGAGCAGTCCACAGCCTGGGCTAGTGGCTGTACAGGACAGCTTTGTGGCACAGAACGGCACAAATCAATTCCTGCCACCCGAACACACGTGGCTCTTGCCGGATAGCTGACACAGAAACCAATCCGTGTCCCCACGAACCCCACGGTCTCATCTCATGCCACCCAACTCCCATTACCCCCCCCCCCTACCCCGATCACACAACGCCAGCGGTTGTGCGTCTTGAGAAGTGGGATCAACAACAACCCTTTTGGTCGCGGGAACGTTTTCACGCGTATGAGGTTCTATTTGAAGTCAATGTCTGCACGTGCGATTTCTGTGTGACTTGAAATGCGGTTTGAATGTGCGGTTTAAAAAAAATGAGCATTGTGGACACGCGCTGGAGTGACGTCGGCAACGCCACTCGAGCACGTCGCGACGATTACATCTTAGCCACCTGGGACAGCGGGCAGCTTCCGAGTGAGGGTGACTCTCCCTGCTGGAGTGGAATCGTCTCCCTGGCTGAGAGACGAGGCTGGCTCACACCTGCTGCGGCCGCCCCGCGTGAGTGAAGACGATGACGACGGGAGGTCACCGCTTGTGTTGCAGGCTGCCGGGCGCGGGAAACCATCCCGCAGGAACTGATGGCGCACCTGGTGGGACCTCCACACTGCTTGCTGCAAACCTGCCAGGTAACCATGAACCCTGCCAGGTGACCATGTACCCTGTCAGGTGACCATGTACCCTGTCAGGTGACCATGAACCCTGTCAGGTGACCATGAACCCCGTCAGGTGACCATGTACCCTGTCAGGTGACCATGAACCCTGCCAGGTGACCATGAACCCTGTCAGGTAACCATGTACCCTGTCAGGTGACCATGTACCCTGTCAGGTGAACCATGTACCCTTCAGGTGACCATGACCCCTGTCAGATGACCATGTACCCTGTCAGGTGACCATGAACCCTGTCAGGTGACCATGAACCCCGTCAGGTGACCATGAACCCTGTTAGGTTGACCATGAACCCTGTCAGATGACCATGTACCCTGTCAGGTGACCATGAACCCTGTCAGGTGACCATGAACCCCGTCAGGTGACCATGAACCCTGTTAGGTGACCATGAAACCCTGTCAGATGACCATGTACCCTGTCAGGTGACCATGAACCCTGTCAGGTGACCATGTACCCCGTCAGGTGACCATGAACCCTGTCAGGTGACCATGAACCCCGTCAGGTGACCATGAACCCTGTTAGGTGACCATGAACCCTGTCAGATGACCATGAACCCCGTCAGGTGACCATGTACCCTGTCAGGTGACCATGTACCCTGTCAGGTGACCATGAACCCCGTCAGGTGACCATGAACCCTGTTAGGTGACCATGAACCCTGTCAGATGACCATGTACCCTGTCAGGTGACCATGAACCCTGTCAGGTGACCATGAACCCCGTCAGGTGACCATGAACCCTGTCAGGTGACCATGAACCCCGTCAGGTGACCATGAACCCTGTTAGGTGACCATGAACCCTGTCAGATGACCATGAACCCCGTCAGGTGACCATGAACCCCGTCAGGTGACCATGAACCCTGTCAGGCTTTACGGGCATGGGGGGACCGTGCCCACACTCCCGGGAGCCCCGTCGTCTCGCTCGGCAACGTCTCCCCGGGCTCCACTCGACGTCCTGGCGTCTCGTGGAGCTCGCGGCAGCGTCCCCGTCTGCGTCTCACAGCCGTGCACAATGCACGCGCTTCACTCATCCCCTGCAATTGCTAAGGGGGCTTTCTGCATGGATATTGTGGGGGCTTGCCCCCCCACCCCCCCCTCTTGTTTACACCACCGCACGGTGGCGCTGCGATTGGAAGGCCTCCCAAATGATCCACACTTACCAAACGAACGTGACAGAAATTGTGGCGCGGTTAATTACCCCGGTTGGCATCCCCTTGCAGACCTCGGAATGCTCCAGGACTTGAGCGCAGGGCCTCGATGCGAACACGCCGCCGTTCACCGCAGTCGCGCTCCCCGCGAGAGCGCCGGCGTGTCCCGTACATACACGGCAGCTTTATTGCCGCTTCTGCCCCCAGCTGAACACATGCGGAAAGGGGAGAGAGGAACGGGCTGTGGTTTTGGGGGGGATATGCAACGGAGAGTAGGAACGGTTGTCGCGGAAGAGACGCGATCCTGTGCCTCTTCGAGGCTGTCGATGTTCCACGCTGGTTCTCGTTTCAGCTTTCATCCGCTCGGCCAGGTGAGGACCCCCGAGTCCGTGATGAGCCTCATCTTCCAGAGTGGCCTCTATCCGTGCACCACCTGCGCTGCTGCCATTTAGACTTGGCACGTGACGTTAAAAAAAAAACAACACGCAAATCTGAACAGCGAACTCCCCAATTAGGATATGGAATCTTAATCTAGCGCTCGAAGTGTTGAGTTTTCGTTCTAGGTACGGCTTCGCGTTTGTGTTGTTCACGGTGCCATCGTCGGTGCTGTCGTGGTGTTTCTGTCACTGTGCGTTGGACGCTGGATCGCGTTCGCAGGAGGCGCGGGAGGCCCGCCCCCTGTACAGCATTTAATTTATTTAGTTCTTTACTCTGTAATGAATATTTTGTGCGTGAGATTCCACGAGAGACGCTGTTATTATTATTGTTGTTATTGAGAGGCTCGTGGCAGTGAATCTAGAAGTTATTGTGTGGTGTCGTCGTCTTGGGTCGACACCCAACGTAATTATTCTCATAATAACAACGGGATTTAGTTTTCTTGGAAAACCTCGCTGAGTTTCCAGGAGGCTCTGCGTGGGGGATCCTTGGCGGATGTCGCTGCCGGATGGCTCTACGGGCCATGCGATTTGTACGACGACCTGTTAAGGCGATCACCAAAGACTTGTTAAAAACAGAGCCGTGACTTCATCATCATCATCATCGCCATCACAATCCACGAGCGGATCGCCCGCCGGTGTCCACTGCACGTCGTCATTTGTTTTCACTTTCCAGTGCGCTCAAGCAGTGCCGCATCTCTCTGGCACCAATCTCTTATGTCGTCGCCAAAGCCGGTGAGCGTTACCGCCTCGTGTTTGTGGGCTTGCTCGACTTTCCCCCACGCACTGCGACATGCAATTGGCCAACATCCTAATGCAGGGGCCCTCCCAGAAATTAGGCCTGAGGTTCTCTCTCTGAGGCTGTCTGTATTATTATTATTAGCGAAGGGAATTATTTCCATGAGCTGACTCTTGATCGCCCGAGTGAGATAAAATGAGGCAAACTGCTTGAAGGAATGCACTAACACCGTCACGATTGACTGCTTCTTATCTCCCGATGTATGTACGTATGTTGAACCTTCTTGGTGCCGTACATAGCCAACCGTGCTGACGGGAGGTGCAGGGACAGAGCGGTGTCGCGAGGATCCCTGGTGCGGCCTGCAGGGCCCAGTGTGACCGCGTGTGACGGTGTGACCACGTGTGGACAGTGTGACGGTGGACCACGTGTGACGGGTGTGACGGTGTGGCGGTGTGACAGTGTGACAGGTGTGACGGTGTGACAGTGTGACAGGTGTGACCACGTGTGACGGTGTGACGGGTGTGACGGTGTGACAGTGTGACAGGTGTGACGGTGTGACGGTGTAAACGGTGTGACCACGTGTGACGATGTGACGGTGTAACGGTGTGACCACGTGTGACGATGTGACCACGTGTGACGGTGTGACGGTGTGACCGCGTGTGGCCCGCCCTGCGTGTCGCCCCAACAGGAGGGGGTGCTGACGGTGGCTGCCCGGCGCTGCGTGCTGCCCTGCGACCGCCCACTCTACCAGCAAGGGCCTCTGCTGCCCCCTCTGTGCCGGTGAGGCCCCCCGTGGTGCCGCGGGGACCCAAGGAGCCCCCTCCGCATGACGCGGGCGCGGGACCCTCCCCAGCCGGAATGCCGCTGAGGCTGTCGCAGCCGACGACGACAATGATGATGTTGTTGATGTTGTCGATGTTGAGTCATAGTTCACTTGTTGTGTTTGGCCACTCAGTGATCTGGATAAAGTTAAAAGCCGATTACGTGGTGAGCGACTCAGCCTCAATAACACCGTGGCCTGAGACACATTTGTCACTATCACTGCTCTAAAAGGTGAATATCTTTATAACAGGCAACATTTCAGGCGTGGCGCTTCCTCTGCATTGTTCTCCATAGGAGAAGAAGACGCAGAAGGAGCAGAAGGACCATTGCCTGAATCGTCACCTAGTATATATTTATATTTCTTCTCCTTGCAGGCCACTTTTATTTGTTGAGTGTGCTAAGCATTTACTATTTGTGCAGAGGGCATCGCTTACGAGGCCACTTGCCGTGAGTCCGTTGTGTCTGACTCACCGTACCAGACTCACCGTGTCTGACTCACCGTACCAGACTCACCGTGTCTGACTCACCGTGTCTGACTCACCGTCTCTGACTCACCGTGTCCTGACTCTCCGTCTCTGACTCACCGTGTCTGACTCTCCGTCTCTGACTCACCGTGTCTGACTCACCGTGTCTGACTCACCGCTACCAGACTCACCGTCTCGGACTCACCGTGTCTGACTCTCCGTCTCTGACTCACCTGTGTCTGAACTCACCGTGCCTGACTCACGGTGTCTGACTCACCGTGTCTGACTCACCGTGTCTGACTCTCCGTGCCTGACTCACCGTGTCTGACTCACCGTCTCTGACTCACCGTCTGTGACTCACCGTGTCTGACTCTCCGTGCCAGACTCTCCGTACCAGACTCACCGTCTCTGACTCACCGTGCAGACTCACCGTGTCTGACTCACCGTCTCTGACTCTCCGTGCCAGACTCACCGGGTCTGATTCACCGGTGCCAGACTCACCGTGTCTGACTCACCGTCTCTGACTCTCCGTGCCAGACTCCACCGTGTCTGATTCACTGTCTGTGGCTCACCGTGTCTGACTCACCGTGTCTGACTCACCGTGTCCTGACCACCGTCTCTGACTCACCGTCTCTGACTCTCCGTGCCAGACTCACCGTGTCTGACTCACCGTGTCTGACTCACCGTCTCTGACTCACCGTCTCTGACTCTCCGTGCCAGACTCACCGTGTCTGATTCACTGTCTGTGGCTCACCGTGTCTGACTCACCGTTTCTGACTCACCGTGTCTGACTCACGTCTGTGACTCACCGTGTCTGACTCACCGTCTCTGACTCACCGTGTCTGACTCACCGTGTCTGACTCACCGTGTCCTGACTTACCGTGTCTGACTGACCGTGTCCTGACTCACCGTACCAGACTCACCGTCTCTGACTCACCGTGTCTGACTCACCGTCTGTGACTCACCGTGTCTGACTCACCATCTCTGACTCACCGTGTCTGACTCACCGTGTCTGACTCACCGTACCAGACTCACCGTCTGTGACTCACCGCCTCTGACTCACCTTTTCTGACTCTCCGTGTCCGACTCACCGTGTCTGACTCACCGTCTGTGACTCCACCGTGTCTGACTCACCGTCTCTGACTCACGTACCAGGACTCACCGTGTCTGACTCACCGTGTCTGACTCACCGTCTCTGACTCACCGTGTCTGACTCTCCGTCTCTGACTCACCGTGTCTGACTCTCCGTGTCTGACTCTCCGTCTCTGACTCACCGTGTCTGACTCACCGTACCAGACTCACCGTCTCTGACTCACCGGTCTGACTCCTCCGTCTCTGACTCCACCGTGTCTGACTCACCGTGTCTGACCTCACCGTGTCTGACTCACCGTGTCCTGACTCACCGTGTCTGACTCTCCGTGCCTGACTCACCGTGTCTGACCTCACCGTCTCTGACTCACCGTCTGTGACTCACCGTGTCTGACTCTCCGTGCCAGACTCTCTGTACCAGACTCACCGTCTCTGACTCACCGTGCCAGACTCACCGTGTCTGACTCACCGTCTCTGACTCTCCGTGCCAGACTCACCGTGTCTGATTCACTGTCTAGTGGCTCACCGTGTCTGACTCACCGTGTCTGACTCACCGTGTCTGGACTCACCGTCTCTGACTCACCGTCTCTGACTCTCCGTGCCAGACTCACCGTGTCTGACTCACCGTGTCTGGACTCACCGTCTCTGACTCACCGTCTCTGACTCTCCCGTGCCAGACTCACCGTGTCCTGATTCACTGTCTGTGGCTCACCGTGTCTGACTCACCGTTTCTGACTCACCGTGTCTGACTCACGTCTGTGACTCACCGTGTCTGACTCACCAGTCTCTGACTCACCGTGTCTGACTCACCGTGTCTGACTCACCGTGTCTGACTTACCGTGTCTGACTGACCGTGTCTGACTCACCGTACAGACTCACCGTCTCTGACTCACCGTGTCTGACTCACCGTCTGTGACTCACCGTGTCTGACTCACCATCTCTGACTCACCGTGTCTGACTCACCGTGTCTGACTCACCGGTACCAGACTCACCGTCTGTGACTCACCGCCTCTGACTCACCTTTTCTGACTCTCCGTGTCCGACTCAACCGTGTCTGACTCACCGTCTGTGACTCACCGTGTCTGACTCACCGTCTCTGACTCACCGTGTCTGACTCACCGTGTCTGACTCACCGTGTCTGACTTACCGTGTCTGACTGACCGTGTCTGACTCACCGTACCAGACTCACCGTCTCTGACTCACCGTGTCTGACTCACCATCTGTGACTCACCGTGTCTGACTCACCATCTCTGACTCACCGTGTCTGACTCACCGTGTCTGACTCACCGTACCAGACTCACCGTCTGTGACTCACCGCCTCTGACTCACCTTCTCTGACTCTCCGTGTCCGACTCACCGTGTCTGACTCACCGTCTGTGACTCACCGTGTCTGACTCACCGTCTCTGACTCACCGTGTCTGACTCACCGTGTCTGACTCACCGTGTCTGACTTACCGTGTCTGACTGACCGTGTCTGACTCACCGTAACCAGACTCACCGTCTCTGACTCACCGGGTCTGACTCACCATCTGTGACTCACCGTGTCCTGACTCACCATCTCTGACTCACCGTGTCTGACTCACCGTGTCTGACTCACCGTACCAGACTCACCGTCTGTGACCTCACCGCCTCTGACTCACCTTCTCTGACTCTCCGTGTCCGACTCACCGTGTCTGGACTCACCGTCTGTGACTCACGTGTCCTGACTCACCGTCTGTGACACTGCCGTGGCACGGCGGCTCCCGCAGGCTGCTCGTTTGGAGGCCACGCGTACCGCGAGGGAGAGGCGTTCCACCCAAACAGGAACCCCTGCATCTCGTGCCTGTGCTCGGTGAGGACCACGGCCCTGGTCGACTTTGTTCCTCCTTTCCTCCCGCACCTCCAATTAGCACGATTGGCTACGCACGGTGCGAAACAAGTTTCAACATACATACATAGACTCACACAGAGACTCATAGACTCACACAGAGACCCATAGACTCACATAGAGACCTATAGACTCACACAGAGACTCATAGACTCACACAGAGACTCATAGACTCACACAGAGACCCATAGACTCACATAGAGCCCTATAGACTCACATAGAGACCCATAGACTCACAGAGAGACCTATAGACTCACAGAGACCCATAGACTCACACAGAGACCCATAGACTCACAGAGAGACCTATAGACTCACAGAGACCATTAGAACTCCTACAGAGACCCATAGACTCCTACAGAGACCCATACGTACGTACATACACGTCCAGCTGCCTGTGCGTTGCTTCCCAATAGTCACCAGATTTTTCCTATTTAGGTGATTCATGATATGTAGACCTTTGAATTCGGTTCTCTTCAAAAAGCAGTGCGACACCACACGGCCGCTGGAAGGTGACATCTCAGAACTACTTCTGAGGGCCCCTCGATGGCCTCCTCAACTCCAGGGGGCGGTGTCACCTTCTCACGTGCCATGCGGTGGAGGTGTTCGTCACGTGGCATTTAAAACCAATCCAATTCAGTCCTCAGAGCTGAAATGGTCTAAATTAAGGACGCGCTCACACAGAAAATAATTATTTGTGTGCATCTTCTTTGGTTCTTTCGGTAAAGTCACGTAGAATGAGAATAAAATAATAAATTGATAAATAAAATAACACAATAATATTCTCACGACGTTTCGGCCACAACACAAGCGGCCTTCATCAGGTGAAGGGAGCGAGACTGTCTGGTAGGACAGCGCTGGAGTGAGAAAAAGGCTGAATGATTAGCTTGTGACTGGTCACAGAAATAGCTATGTTAAAAGTTAAAGCATACACATCCGCAGAGGCACCCATTGTTAAAAGGAATTAGCATAGAATTTAGCATTGAAATAGCTAAATTAAGGCATTCGCTTGTAACTGCTACAGAAATAGTTACGTTGAAGTCAGAGCATACACATTCACCGAGGCACTTAGTACAAATCAAAACAGGAGAATTTAGCATTGAAATAACTAGGCGAATTTAGCATTGAAATAACTGGGTGATTTGCTAGTGACTGGTCACAGAAATGACTACAAATCTGAGCTATTCACAGTACTATATAGTGAACCAATAAAAACTAAAATATAAATTACCTTCATGTTATCAATAAACTCTATATTCTCCAATCAGCTAAGCTACCAACCATAAGTCGTTACCTGGATCTTGTGTTTATTCAGGATTTTGGAGATCTTTTTAGTGACCCCTGCAATGTAGGCTCTATGGTATAGAGTCTTGATGAGGCAGTTCTTCTGGGATGGATGGTGGTGGGATCCGGTTTCAAGTAAGCATCTGTATGGGTAGCTTTCCTGTAGACAGAGTGGCTCATTGAACCATCATGTCTCCTTTTAATTAAGACATCCAGAAAGGGTAGTTTGCCATCTTTTTCGACCTCCATGGTAAATCTGATGGCTGGGTGTATGGAATTGATGTGGTCGCGGAATTGGTCTAGAGCGGCTGGCCATGTGGCCAGATGACAAAGGTGTCATCAACGTACCTCTTCCATAAGGTCGGGCGTAGCAGTGGCAGTCTGGATGGCGTCAGTTTCAAATTTTTTCCATGAATACGTTGGCTACAACCGGAGATAGGGGGGAGCCCATTGGGGTGCCCTCAGTTTGTTTGTAGAAAGTTCCATTCCAGGTGAAGTATGTGTTGGTTAAGCAATGTCTCACCAGGGGGGGTACATCAGTATGCAGTCCTTGATGAACCAGGTCTTCAATGATAGCGATGTGTCAGGTACCGGGACTTTGGTGAACAAGGACACCACATCAAAACTGACAAGCAGGTCGTTTGGGGACAGGGAAATGTCCTTTGATTGTCGATACCAGGTGAGTAGAATTTAGTACCGCAGAGGTGGTTTTTCCAGTGAAAGGTCGCAGTATATCAGCCAGAAAACGTGCCAGTTTGTAGGTGGGGGAGCTGATAGTAGAGACGATGGGACGAAGGGGTGTATCTTCTTTGTGTATCTTTGGAAGGCCATATAATCAGCAGAGGGTTTCAACAAGAACTGTTTGTTCTCATCAATTAATGCTGTTGAATCAGAGATAATTTTGTTCGTTTTGGTGACCAGGCTGTTGGTGGGATCTCTTTTATTTTTGTATAGCTGCCATCGTTGAGTAGTTCTTGAATTTTGTTGTTATATTCTGTTTTGTCCATGATGACAGTGGCATTGCCTTTGTCGGCTGAGAGAACGACAATATCATCCCTCTTTTTTAATTGAGATAATTCAAAACGTTCGTCTTTGCTGATGTTGCTAGGTGGCAACTTAGCGTTTTTGAGGGTTGCAGCGATTTCAGATCTTGCTACATCTGCAGAGATGTGACTCAAGCCCTTGAGTGCAACGTCGACATGGGCAATGATATCATTAACCGGTAAGTGTCTCGGTGTGACAGCAAAGTTTAGACCTTTAGCTAAAACGGATTTCAGACCATCAGAAATGGAACTGTTACTGCGATTAATTACGACTTTGTTGACGTCTATCTTTTCGGTGTGTGGATCCGATTTTTTGCTGGAGAGGTGATTGAATTTGGAAATCAAATTGTCCCTACATTTGTTCGACATAGTGGCAGCCGAAGAGGTAGTCATATTGTCTACATGTTCCCAATCCGATGTAGACATTGTTGCTGTCAATTTTAAGTGTGATTTGTAGAGTGTCCTTGTCTAACTGATCGAGTTCGGTGCGTGTAAGTCTGATTTTTTCCGAGATAAGAGCGAAGCTAGTTCTAGCTAGAATTCGTTTTGCATTGAGAGAAGTTGCAACAGCAGAGGTTAGTGTAAATGCGGTTGGTATTACCTTAGAGTCGCGGCATCTCTTCAGAAGGTGAGAGACTCGATTAGTTGAGCCTTCTTATCCCGAAGTCTGTTGAATGATCTTAAGGATGTGTGGAATCCCTCCCCGTAGAGGTGGTTAAATTTCGATTTAAAGCTTTCGTGACTGCAATGATTCATCTTCTTTGGTTCTTTCGGTAAAGTCACGTAGAATGAGAATAAAATAATAAATTGATAAAATAAAATAACACAATAATATTCTCACGACGTTTCGGCCACAACACAAGCGGCCTTCATCAGGTGAAGGGAGCGAGACTGTCTGGTAGGACAGCGCTGGAGTGAGAAAAGGCTGAATGATTAGCTTGTGACTGGTCACAGAAATAGCTATGTTAAAAGTTAAAGCATACACATCCGCAGAGGCACCCATTGTTAAAAGGAATTAGCATAGAATTTAGCATTGAAATAGCTAAATTAAGGCATTCGCTTGTAACTGCTACAGAAATAGTTACGTTGAAGTCAGAGCATACACATTCACCGAGGCACTTAGTACAAATCAAAACAGGAGAATTTAGCATTGAAATAACTAGGCGAATTTAGCATTGAAATAACTGGGTGATTTGCTAGTGACTGGTCACAGAAATGACTACAAATCTGAGCTATTCACAGTACTATATAGTGAACCAATAAAACTAAAATATAAATTACCTTCATGTTATCAATAAACTCTATATTCTCCAATCAGCTAAGCTACCAACCATAAGTCGTTACCTGGATCTTGTGTTTATTCAGGATTTTGGAGATCTTTTTAGTGACCCCTGCAATGTAGGCTCTATGGTATAGGAGTCTTGATGAGGCAGTTCTTCTGGGATGGATGGTGGTGGGAATCCGGTTTCAAGTAAGCATCTGTATGGGTAGCTTTCCTGTAGACAGAGGGCTCATTGAACCATCATGTCTCCTTTAATTAAGACATCCAGAAAGGGTAGTTTGCCATCTTTTTTCGACCTCCATGGTAAATCTGATGGCTGGGTGTATGGAATTGATGTGGTCGCGGAATTGGTCTAGAGCAGGCTGGCCATGTGGCCAGATGACAAAGGTGTCATCAACGTACCTCTTCCATAAGGTCGGGCGTAGAGTGGCAGTCTGGATGGCGTCAGTGTTCAAATTTTTCCATGAATACGTTGGCTACAAAAATCGGATCCACACACCGAAAAGATAGACGTCAACAAAGTCGTAATTAATCGCAGTAACAGTTCCATTTCTGATGGTCTGAAATCCGTTTTAGCTAAAGGTCTAAACTTTGCTGTCACACCGAGACACTTACCGGTTAATGATATCATTGCCCATGTCGACGTTGCACTCAAGGGCTTGAGTCACATCTCTGCAGATGTAGCAAGATCTGAAATCGCTGCAACCCTCAAAAACGCTAAGTTGCCACCTAGCAACATCAGCAAAGACGAACGTTTTGAATTATCTCAATTAAAAAAGAGGGATGATATTGTCGTTCTCTCAGCCGACAAAGGCAATGCCACTGTCATCATGGACAAAACAGAATATAACAACAAAATTCAAGAACTACTCAACGATGGCAGCTATACAAAAATAAAAAGAGATCCCACCAACAGCCTGGTCACCAAAACGAACAAAATTATCTCTGATTCAACAGCATTAATTGATGAGAACAAACAGTTTCTTGTTGAAACCCTCTGCTGATTATATGGCCTTCCAAAGATACACAAAGAAGATACACCCCTTCGTCCCATCGTCTCTACTATCAGCTCCCCCACCTACAAACTGGCACGTTTTCTGGCTGATATACTGCGACCTTTCACTGGAAAAACCACCTCTGCGGTACTAAATTCTACTCACCTGGTATCGACAATCAAAGACATTTCCCTGTCCCCAAACGACCTGCTTGTCAGTTTTGATGTGGTGTCCTTGTTCACCAAAGTCCCGGTACCTGACACCATCGCTATCATTGAAGACCTGGTTCATCAAGGACTGCATACTGATGTACCCCCCTGGTGAGACATTGCTTAACCACACATACTTCACCTGGAATGGAACTTTCTACAAACAAACTGAGGGCACCCCAATGGGCTCCCCCCTATCTCCGGTTGTAGCCAACGTATTCATGGAAAAATTTGAAACTGACGCCATCCAGACTGCCACTCTACGCCCGACCTTATGGAAGAGGTACGTTGATGACACCTTTGTCATCTGGCCACATGGCCAGCCTGCTCTAGACCAATTCCGCGACCACATCAATTCCATACACCCAGCCATCAGATTTACCATGGAGGTCGAAAAAGATGGCAAACTACCCTTTCTGGATGTCTTAATTAAAAGGAGACATGATGGTTCAATGAGCCACTCTGTCTACAGGAAAGCTACCCATACAGATGCTTACTTGAAACCGGATTCCCACCACCATCCATCCCAGAAGAACTGCCTCATCAAGACTCTATACCATAGAGCCTACATTGCAGGGGTCACTAAAAAGATCTCCAAAATCCTGAATAAACACAAGATCCAGGTAACGACTTATGGTTGGTAGCTTAGCTGATTGGAGAATATAGAGTTTATTGATAACATGAAGGTAATTTATATTTTAGTTTTTATTGGTTCACTATATAGTACTGTGAATAGCTCAGATTTGTAGTCATTTCTGCTGACCAGTCACTAGCAAATCACCCAGTTATTTCAATGCTAAATTCGCCTAGTTATTTCAATGCTAAATTCTCCTGTTTTGATTTGTACTAAGTGCCTCGGTGAATGTGTATGCTCTGACTTCAACGTAACTATTTCTGTAGCAGTTACAAGCGAATGCCTTAATTTAGCTATTTCAATGCTAAATTCTATGCTAATTCCTTTTAACAATGGGTGCCTCTGCGGATGTGTATGCTTTAACTTTTAACATAGCTATTTCTGTGACCAGTCACAAGCTAATCATTCAGCCTTTTCTCACTCCAGCGCTGTCCTACCAGACAGTCTCGCTCCCTTCACCTGATGAAGGCCGCTTGTGTTGTGGCCGAAACGTCGTGAGAATATTATTGTGTTATTTTATTTTATCAATTTATTATTTTATTCTCATTCTACGTGACTTTACCGAAAGAACCAAAGAAGATGAATCATTGCAGTCACGAAAGCTTTAAATCGAAATTTATTTTGTGTGCAGTCATCGCTGACTGGACAGACTTGATCAACTCATCAGCCTTTGTGGAAACATTTGTAATCACGGGCAGTAGCAGCCCAGTGTCTCAGGGCTAGCGGTTCGATGTTCTAACGTGGCTACGACTCCTACGGCTGTGCAGGGTTTCATGGCAGATAGCCAGCGGAACACCTCGCGTACCGTGAGGGCCCTGTGCAGGCACAGCTCACGTGTGCCAGTGGGAAAACCACCCGTGCCGTGCCGACCCTACGCTGGCATCGCTCGAATGTGCAGTGGAAACTCACCCGTACCGCGAGGGTTCTGCGCTGGCCTGTGTGCGGTGAGCCGGTGGAGTCGGGGGTGGTAATGGTGTTTGGGGACCGGCCCCCCATCCCCAGGACGGGAAGTTGCAGTGCGAGCAGGAGGTGTGCCCCGTGCTTTCGTGTCCGCCAGGCTGTCCCATACCCCACCCGGCAAGTGCTGCGCCACATGCAAGGGTATGTTTCTATCATCATCTTTACCGTCATCACCATCATCGTCATCATCATCATCATCACCGTCATCACTATCAGCATCATCATCATTAATACCGCTCTGCCTCCCCATGCAGTGTGTCTCCAGGTGCCACAATGAATGGGGCATTTGAGATAATTGCTGGGAAGTGAAATATGATGCAGACCAAATACAATGCTCAAAAACCAACCAATACAGGAGGGGCAACATAGACAACCAATGAGAATAAAACACCATTCCAAAGGCGACCTTGTGCTTGAGACCACAGTCGTTTGGATGGGCAGATAAACGCAGCTGTTACGTGCAGCTAGCGCGGAGCAAGTGAGTGTGCCGATGCAGAGACGAGCGTTGCTGTAAGTAATAAAATAATAATAAAAACTTGACCAGACAAGAAGTGCTCTTTCATTGCAACAACAATAAAATTGCATTTTAGGTCATGAGTCCAAAAGCCTTCCTGACCAATGTCCATCCAGAAGTATTTATTTCGGCAGCTCGGACTTGGACTGATTTGGACTTTCTAAGTTTCATCAGCAAGGAGTGGCCCATTAAACAGATCGCTGCCGGGTTGAGGCCAGGATGGTGGCGGCAAGCATCGGTGCAGCCCATTCTGTGCCGCGTTATCCCTGAACGTCAGGCTGCACAAGTAACGTTCAAACATTGAATGTGCTTATATCAGGGGCGAATCTTAGGTCATTTAAATGTGTATGTATGAATGAATACAGGCATGTGCTTCGCTGGGGGGGGGAAAAATTACATTCAAGCCGTTCAGCGGTGGGTTTTTTCGATGAAAATATCCCGATGATAACACTTTGTGAAACGAGCCGTGTGAGGCTTGCTGCGCTGCCACGGGAGCGTTAAGGCTGCACGTATGTAGAACTTCTTTGGCACCGTACGTTGCCAAGCGTGCTAATTGGAGCTGGGGCTGGCCTGCGAGGCCCCCCATTCTAGCGTAGGCTCCACGGAGCGAGAGCGTCCCAGCGTCCAGGCGTAGTCAGGTTGGACGGGCGAGGTTGTGAGCCATGATGCTGATCGGGCGGTCGCGTGGTGGACGGACAGCCGGCTGTTGGGACCGTCGAAGGGTGGAGCGTGGAGAATGTCTGAAAATGTTCTAACAACCGTAGCACGGAGCAGAAGGGAAGAACGACTTGACGGTGACGTGCGGTGGCGTTACCAGGGCTCCTCCCCTTGAGTCGAGCTACAGATAGGGAGTCCTGAGACTCGGGGAACCTGTCCCGGCCAAAGAGAGAAGATTCGAACATCGGTGTCCGCTGCTCCCATCCTCCTCACCCCCCCCCTCCCCCCCCACACGCCTCTCCCACCCCCCGGTTCTCTCTCACCATCCACGGCCAACATACAATGATTTTATTCATGTTCAGTTAACCGGATGATTGAGCATACCGCGTGATGTAGATCAGACTTATCGTAATTTGAGTCATCCTGTGCGATGTTCTCAGTAGTTCCATTATGTCAGCTCAATGTACTTCACATTTGGCCTCCCGTTCACAAACATTCCAGACATGAGCACCATTTGTGGCTTCGTGCGGTTTAATCTCCACCTCAAAGTGGCTTTTTATTGGCCACAGATATCTCTATTCGCCTTCTGCCTTCGTGCCATCGGCAATGCCATTTGTCTAAATGTTGTTGTGTTTAGTTTGTTGTCCTTCCCCGGCACCTCCGATGAGCACCGTTGGCTATGTACGGTGCGAAAGAAGTCCAATATAGATATGTGCGCTCCTTACGTAAGATTATTTTCCATATAAATTGCGAATGTTGCTTAAATCTTGTAACTCGCATGTGGAATTTCACACAACAGAAACGTTCACGGGATTTGCCCACTAATCCCGCATCTCCGTACGGATTTCCTAAACATGTGCTCGCCACATCCACAGTTTGCTGTGCTCAATGACTCAATGTCCCCTAGAATCATCCACTTGACAATGATTGCCTTGCTGCAGTGTTGGCTCAGCATGGCTTCTGATGTGGAGGCATTTGCAGCCCTCCCTTTAGAGCGTTATTGCTACTTACTGTTAGTGGAAAACCGTTCATATGCCTCTCTAATCTGAATATGGGCCATTTCCCAACACATTATTAGCATCATCAGCCATAATCTATCCACGACTGGATGAAGACATCCACAAGCCATCGCCATCTCTCACGGCCCCACTGTGTATCAGTCCATCGCGTTATTCTTCTCTCTACGTATCTGTGACAAAGCAGTGCTGATGACGAACGCTGTCGTCTCTCCTTGTGCATCACTGCCAGCGCGTTTCCCTATTCTCTCCCTGCCCGTAGAACCGTGCGCTTCAAGGCAGTCTCTCTCACAGGGGCCAATTACGCAGGCTGGCTTGGTGTGCCGTGTGTAAATTAGCTCAGGCCGCAATCGAGCACAAAGTCTGTTTTAAATGCGATGTATTCAGATGATCGCTTTCTACGTTTTATGTGGAGGTGGCATATCCATAAATTGTGCCCAACGGGAAGAGGCATGAACCGCGAGCTCTTGATTTGCGCGCTCGTGAACGGGGCAGCGAGGCAGCGATGTGGAAATGTTTTCATAGGTCACTGCAGCCGCACGCGTGGCAATGCACTGCTATCACGTGAGGTTGATGGAGAGGTACGGATCAGACCTTAAAACATATACAGAAGCTACATTTCTATTTAAAGCTTTCGTGACTGCATGGATTCATCTTCTTGGTTCTTTCGGTAAAGTCACGTAGAAGGGAAGTAATAAAATAATAACAATAAAACATAATAAATTATCACGACGTTTTGGCCACAACACGGTGCTTGCGTTGTGGCCGAAACGTCGTGATAATTTTATTTGATTATGTATTATATTTTTATTATTTTATTATTCCCTTCTACGTGACTTTACCGAAAGAAACCATGAAGATAAACAGAAGCTCTTCACTTCGTCCATTTTCGTTGTTGGGGGAACGGTCAGGCCGATGCCTCGGTTGGACGAGCGACTGTGCAGTCAAGGGACGTCTAGGCCTCCACCGATACCATAGTTGTCATTTTATGCATTTTTCCTCAGCACGTGTATTCCTCTTAAAGCAGCCTGATTAGTTGAGCAGATGGGGCCATGAAGTGGCGGTCAAAAGGTTAATCTGTAGATGGAATGCCCTCTGATTGTGGTCCCCACGGCGCATGAACGTCCGACCCAGCTGCGTGTAGTTTTATGAAGGAGCGAGCTGACTGGCTTGGGGATAGCGCTACGGGGTCTGCTACGGGGTCTGCGCCGGCAACGCAGCTTGCCCCGTCGCAGGTGGAGGATCTCTCTCCTTGTCATCGCAGGGGCATCTCGCGTGCCCTTTGGTACCGAGCAGACGGGCCGCATGACGTATCGGTTGAGACCGTGAAAATCGACGTGCCGGCGGGCGGACGCTGAACGTTTCCCAGCGTACACTCACGGACAGAGGACACCAACGTGGTGCCTCGGTCATGTGGTTTAGAAATAATAAGGATGCACCTGTTACTTTCTGGATTGTGGGCCAAGTTTGCTAAACTCCGATACCAGGGCGGATTTCTAATCGGAGTAACCTTGCCGCAGCTAGATAATGAGATCGGAGTGGTGTCTTCCCTGTGAAATGCGATATGAAATCAGTAATATGCTCACGTGAAATTGGAAAATATGACCGGCACATTGGGTGTGACAAGAGATGTGTGCAGCGATCGTCCCGATGCTGAGCCTGTTCACCGCGCAGGATGTGTGAACGCAGTCTTGTGTAGTGCACAAATCAGGGGAGCTCTCTAGAGGTCAGGTGACCGGTAGCACCTGACTGGTGTCTGAAGTCTTTAGAAGGCAACAAAGAGTTGCTCACGAAGTAAAAAAAAAATAACTTTCAGTATTCTGTACGAGCCTGTAGATCCAGCAGCAGGCCATGCGTCGAGGCATCGTAATTAAACATTTTTGTAGCCATTTGTCAATCCACTGCTAAATGAAAGTCCCTTGACGGAATTTGAGTTCTGTGACCATGCTTCACCACGCCGGTCAACGCAGGTTGGCGAAAGGCGTTTGGTCCAGGGACCGCTTCAGAAATCACTCGCCACTGATGTTAGCCGTGGCCGGAAATGTAACCCATGTTGCGGTGCGCCACGGCACCACCTCTCCACGCCGCGTCCGGCGTCGCTACCGCCGTCAGCCCAAGTTGTCGAGGGGGCGGCAAAACGGCGGAGAGAGAGGGGAGCCACGCTCGCCGCGCCTCCGGCCCTCGCACGCATTTTGCCCCACGTCCCCCTCCGCGTGCCGCGTGCCGCGTGCTCTAGGCCAGAGGAAGTGTTCGATCTGCCCGCGGGGAGCTGCGTCTTCCAGGCCAAGGTTCTGGACAATGGAGACGTGTTCAGCCACGGTGGCTGCACCTCGTGTGTGTGTAAGGTAGCAGTGTGCACCGCATCACCCACAGGAAGCACACGCACCACCGCACCACCCACAGGAACCACACGCACCACCGCACCACCCACAGGAACCACACGCACCACCCACAGGAAACCACACGCACCACCGCACCACCCACAGGAACCACACGCACCACCCACAGGAAGCACACGTACCACCGTAACCACCACCGCACCACCCACAGGAACCACACGCACCACCGCACCACCCACAGGAACCACAACGCACCACCGCACCACCGCCGCACCACCGCCGCACCACCACACCACCGCGCCCCCTCTCAGACTCCTCGTATTCCGTTGCACAAGTTCCACCGTTGGGTTGTTCTACGCGCGGCTTTAGCTGACGCTCAACAGCAAGGAGCTGCAAGTAGATATTGGCTGTCTCTTACGGGGCATTGACAGTCGTGTGTAGTGAGCCGCTCGTGTGGTGAGCCGCTCGTGTGGTGAGTCGCTCGTGTGGTGTGTCGCTCGTGTGGTTAGTCGCGCGTGTGGTGAGTCGCGCATGTGGTAAGTCGCTCGTGTGGTGAGTCGCTCGTGTGGTGAGTCGCTCGTGTGGTGAGTCGCGCGTGAGGTGAGTCGCTCGTGTGGTGTGTCGCTCGTGTGGTGAGTCGCGCGTGTGGTGAGTCGCGCGTGTGGTGGAGTCGCGCATGTGGTAAGTCGCTCGTGTGGTGAGTCGCTCGTGTGGTGAGTCCGCTCGTGTGATGAGTCGCGCGTGAGGTGAGTCGCTCGTGTGGTGTGTCGCTCGTGTGGTGAGTCGCGCGTGTGGTGAGTCGCTCGTGTGGTTAGTCGCTCGTGTGGTGAGTCGCGCGTGTGGTGAGTCGCTCGTTTGGTGAGTCGCTCGTGTGGTGAGTCGCTCGTGTGGTGAGTCGCGCGTTTGGTGAGTCGCTCGTGTGGTGAGTCGCTCGTGTGGTGAGTCGCTCGTGTGGCGCGTGAGCTCTGCCAACGTCTGGCAAAATCAAAGTGAACGGAGTGAGAGGCCCGTAACACCACTGTGCTTCACTCGGGTGTGAATCTGGCCCAGATATCATCTGGTTTGGATTTGATTTTTTTTTGCTCCGTGGCAAACATTCAAGCCAGTTGTAAATTATGCAAGTTCTTAAAATAAAAATACACTTGTTTAGAATATTTTTCCAAATTGCAATACATTTCAAATTTTACGGTTTAGCTGTGATACAAGCCAGGTGCCCACAACATCAAAGCACTCTTTATTACAATTTCAGAACTATTTCATGTCGTTTATATAAATTCCCAGCACCCCCTTCCACGTTTATTAAGCGTGCCTGACATAGAGCAGCTGGGCGGGCCGTTCAAGGAGCTACTTTGAGTGGAACGCCCGCGATCGCTGGGGGTCACGGGGGCACCCTCTGGCCCCGTCGCGTGCTCGCTGGATGTCCTCGGCCCAGGGCAGAGCTCACCTGTGAGCCACGTGCAAGGGGAGGTGGCCCGCCAGGCCCTCTACCGTAGCAGCGGTGGGACGAGGCCGTCGTCAGCGCGGACGTATTCAGCCGCGGCCAGCCTTGGCCAGGCTGCGCGGTGCCGCACGTCGCTCAAGTCTACACTCAGGAGTCTCCGTTCAGACCTAACGCGCCGTTTACAACACTAGCGTCACAGGATGGTATTTGATAAAAAATGGTATGTTTCAGTGAAATAATTTAACAAAAACTATTGAAACCAACGGTGTGATACGATGAACGAATCCCCTAAATTGCATCCATGCCCTGCCTCTGGCTGGGAAACACTGCAGCTGAGTTGGTACGATTCTGCAATTACGAGTTCAAGCTCGGTCTGAGATTGAGAACCGCTTGGTGGGAAGGGACCGGTGGTTGTTCTGTGGTGAGACTCCCCCTCAACAGAGCAATGGGAATCCCACCTCCGTCCTGGGCACCGCCGGCGCTCCTTGCAGCGCGAGAGAAACGTCCGTGCCTCGCTCGACCGCGAACGTCCGTCAGACGTTTGTTCCCGGTCCACCGAGCGACTGTGCTGTGTGTGTGTGTGCGTATGTGCGTGTGTGCGCGTGTGCGTGCGTGTGTGCGCGTGTGCGTGCGTGTGTGTGCGCGCGTGCGTGCGTGTGTGTGCGCGCGCGCGTGTGTGTGCGTGCGTACTGTGTGTGTGTGCGTGTGAGTGTGTGTGTGGTGTGTGCGTTTGCGTGTGAGTGTGTGTGCGCGTGTGCGTGCGTGTGTGTGTGTGTGCGTGTGTGCGTGTGCGTGCGTGTGCGTGTGTGTGTGCGCGTGCGTGCGTGTGTGTGCGTGCGTGTGCATGCGTGTGCGTGCGTGCGCGGCTCCAGAACGGCACGGTGGAGTGCGAGCGGAGCTGTGGGCTCGGAGCGCCGGGCGACGCCGGCTGTGAGCCGTGCATCTCGGCCGTGCGCCCTCACAGCAGCTGCACCGTCCTCAACACCACCTACCAGGTGGGCAGCCACGCAGCCCCGGGGCAACACCCTCCGACGGGGATTCAAATCGAGGATGCCAGAGTCGCGATGTCCGAGCGCGTTCCTCTGCTTGGCAGTCCCATAGGAGGCGCGGGGCAAGGACGACACTCTGTTGCGTTGGTTCAAGTTGTGTTTGTCGCGTTGGCATTGTTGGTTATCCTGGTGTCAACTTATGTTGGCTGCCTCCTTTGAGCGTGCACATCTGTTCAGAGCGATTCGGGGTGCTTGAGGCAACTTTAAGAAATGAGGGGTGGTGGTTGATGGGGGGGTGAGAGGGGGGACTCTTCAGCAGCCCAAGAAGGTGGCATCGAAGCTCAAGTTAAAGGCCAACGTCCATTCGGACCCCCTGTTGGGAGTTTTACTCCTGACGCCGGGCAATGGTGAACTTGTAGAATCTGACCTGAGTTGAGGAGCGAGGTACATATCCATTTGCTGTCACAGGTCAAGGTTGCTGTTCTAAATTAGTTCCGGAAGCTAATAATCCATCAGACATGAGAATTGTCAGTCCGGTGATGGTCCTCCCCCTTGGGTAGCCATGACGAAAACGAATGAAGCTGTGAGTGAGAGGAGTCCTCCTTTGGCTGGCTCGTGCGATGCACGTGTCGAGGTACGCCTGGCGAGGAACACTCTGAAGTCGACAGTGTCAGCTGTTAGCTCTGCCTGCGAATCAAACACAGATCTCCAGGTTCATAGCCAGAGCACCACCGCTTCCGTGTGTGTGTTTGGGTTTAATAAAAACAAAAAAAAAACCTCTTAATCAACACGGGAGAACTTTACACTGTCTTCAAGACATTTCTTGTTTGTGTGTATATACACATGTTTGTGTGTATATATACACATGTTTGTGTGTATATATACACATGTTTGTATATATACACAAACTGTATATATACACACAAATATGTGTATATGTATATACACAAATATGTATATGTACAAATATGTATATACGCTAGCTCTTAAGGCAGTGAAATATAATTTGCGCGTTTCACAGTTAGGACCGGTGCGTAATGTTTGCCAGTTCCGTCGCAGCCGCTCACAATCGTGTCTGTGTTTCTTTGTGTCTGTGTCCCTTTGTGTTTGTGTCCTCTTTGTGTTTGTGTCTCTTTGTGTCTCTTTGTGTTTGTGTCTCTTTGTGTTTGTGTCTCTTTGTGTCTGTGTCTCTTTGTGTTTGTCTCTTTGTGTTTGTGTCTCTTTGTGTTTGTGTCTCTTTGTGTCTGTGTCTCTTTGTGTCTGTGTCTCTTTGTGTTTGTGTCTCTTTGTGTTTGTGTCTCTTTGTGTCTGTGTCTCTTTGTGTTTGTGTCTCTTTGTGTTTGTGTCTCTTTGTGTCTGTGTCTCTTTGTGTTTGTGTCTCGTTGTGTTTGTGTCTCTTTGTGTTGTGTCTCTTTGTGTCTGTGTTCTTTGTGTCTGTGTCTCTTTGTGTTTGTGTCTCTTTGTGTTTGTGTCTCTTTGTGTTTGTGTTTCTTTGTTGTCTGTGTCTCTTTGTGTTTGTGTCTCTTTGTGTCTGTGTCTCTTTGTGTCTGTGTCTTTTGTGTCTGTGTCTCTTTGTGTCTGTGTCTCTTTGTGTCTGTGTCTCTTTCTGCCTGTGTCTCTTTGTGTCTGTGTTTCTTTGTGTCTGTGTCTCTTTCTGCCTGTGTCTCTTTGTGTTTGTGTCTCTTTGTGTCTGGCTCTTTGTGTTTGTGTCTCTTTGTGTTTGCGTCTCTTTGTGTCTATGTCTCTTTGTGTCTGTGTCTCTTTGTGCCTGTGTCTCTTTCTGCCTTGTGTCTCTTTGTGTTTTGTGTCTCTTGTGGTCATGGCTCTTTGTGTTTGTGTCTCTTTGTGTTTGGCGTCTCTTTGTGTCTATGTCTCTTTTTGTCTGTGTCTCTTTGTGCCTGTGTCTCTTTGTGCCTGTGTCTCTTTGTGTTGTGTCTCATTGTGTTTCTTTGTGTCTGTGTCTCTTTGTGTTTGTGTCTCTTTGTGTTTGTGTCTCTTTGTGTTATGTGTCTCTTTGTGTCTGTGTCTCTTTGTGTCGTGTTTCTTTGTGTCTGTGTCTCTTTGTGTTTGTGTCTCTTTGTGTTTGTGTCTCTTTGTGTTTGTGTTTCTTTGTGTCTGTGTCTCTTTGTGTTTGTTGTCTCTTTGTGTCTGTGTCTCTTTGTGTCTGGTCTCTTTGTGTTTGTGTCTCTTTGTGTCTGGTGTCTCTGTGTGTCTGTGTCTCTTTCTGCCTGTGTCTCTTTGTGTCTCTGTTTCTTTGTGTCTGTGTCTCTTTCTGCCTGTCTCTTTGTGTTTGTGTCTATTTGTGTCTGGCTCTTTTGTGTTTGTGTCTCTTTGTGTTTGCGTCTCTTTGTGTCTATGTCTCTTTGTGTCTGTGTCTCTTTGTGCCTGTGTCTCTTTCTGCCTGTGTCTCTTTGTGTTTGTGCTCTTTGTGTCTGGCTCTTTGTGTTTGTGTCTCTTTGTGTTTGCGTCTCTTTGTGTCTATGTCTCTTTGTGTATGTGTCTCTTTGTGCCTGTGTCTCTTTGTGCCTGTGTCTCTTTGTGTTTGTGTCTCTTTGTGTTTCTTTGTGTCTGTGTCTCTTTGTGTTTGTGTCTCTTTGTGTTTGTGTCTCTTTGTGTTTGTGTCTCTTTGTGTCTGTGTCTCTTTGTGTCTGTGTTTCTTGTGTCTGTGTCCTCTTTGTGTCTGTGTCTCTTTGTGTTGTGTCTCTTGTGTCTGTGTCTCTTTCTGCCTGTGTCTCTTTGTGTCTGTGTTCTTTGTGTCTGTGGTCTCTTTCTGCCTGTGTCTCTTTGTGTTTGTGTCTCTTTGGTGTTGTGTTCTTTGTGTCTGTGTCTCTTTGTGTCTGTGTCTCTTTGTGTCTGTGTCTCTTTGTGTCTGTTGTCCTCTTTGTGTCTGTGTCTCTTTGTGTCTGTGTCTCTTTCTTGCCTGTGTCTCTTTGTGTCTGTGTTTCTTTGTGTATGTGTCTCTTTCTGCCTGTGTCTCTTTGTGTTTGTGTCTCTTTGTGTTTCTTTGTGTCTGTGTCTCTTTGTGTTTGTGTCTCTTTGTGTTTGTGTCTCTTTGTGTTTGTGTCTCTTTGTGTCTGTGTCTCCTTGTGTCTGTGTTTCTTTGTGTCTGTGTCTCTTTGTGTTTGTGTCTCTTTGTGTTTGTGTCTCTTTGTGTTTGTGTTTCTTTGTGTCTGTGTCTCTTTGTGTTTGTGTCTCTTTGTGTCTGTGTCTCTTTGTGTCTGTGTCTCTTTGTGTTTGTGTCTCTTTGTGTCTGTGTCTCTTTGTGTCTGTGTCTCTTTCTGCCTGTGTCTCTTTGTGTCTCTGTTTCTTTGTGTCTGTGTCTCTTTCTGCCTGTCTCTTTGTGTTTGTGTCTATTTGTGTCTGGCTCTTTGTGTTTGTGTCTCTTTGTGTTTGCGTCTCTTTGTGTCTATGTCTCTTTGTGTCTGTGTCTCTTTGTGCCTGTGTCTCTTTCTGCCTGTGTCTCTTTGTGTTTGTGTCTCTTTGTGTCTGGCTCTTTGTGTTTGTGTCTCTTTGTGTTTGCGTCCTCTTTGTGTCTATGTCTCTTTGTGTATGTGTCTCTTTGTGCCTGTGTCTCTTTGTGCCTGTGTCTCTTTGTGTTTGTGTCTCTTTGTGTTTCTTTGTGTCTGTGTCTCTTTGTGTTTGTGTCTCTTTGTGTTTGTGTCTCTTTGTGTTTGTGTCTCTTTGTGTCTGTGTCTCCTTGTGTCTGTGTTTCTTTGTGTCTGTGTCTCTTTGTGTCTGTGTCTCTTTGTGTCTGTGTCTCTTTGTGTCTGTGTCTCTTTCTGCCTGTGTCCTCTTTGTGTCTGTGTTTCTTTGTGTCTGTGTCTCTTTCTGCCTGTGTCTCTTTGTGTTTGTGTCTCTTTGTGTTTGTGTTTCTTTGTGTCTGTGTCTCTTTGTGTCTGTGTCTCTTTGTGTCTGTGTCTCTTTGTGTCTGTGTCTCTTTGTGTCTGTGTCTCTTTCTGCCTGTGTCTCTTTGTGTCTGTGTTTCTTTGTGTATGTGTCTCTTTCTGCCTGTGTCTCTTTGTGTTTGTGTCTCTTTGTGTCTGGCTCTTTGTGTTTGTGTCTCTTTGTGTTTGCGTCTCTTTGTGTCTATGTCTCTTTGTGTCTGTGTCTCTTTGTGCCTGTGTCTCTTTCTGCCTGTGTCTCTTGTGTTTGTGTCTCTTTGTGTCTGGCTCTTTGTGTTTGTGTCTCTTTGTGTTTGCGTCTCTTTGTGTCTATGTCTCTTTGTGTCTGTGTCTCTTTGTGCCTGTGTCTCTTTGTGCCTGTGTCTCTTTGTGTTTGTGTCTCTTTGTGTTTGTGTCTCTTTGTGTTTGAGTCTCTTTGTGTCTGTGTCTCTTTGTGTCTGTGTCTCTTTGTGCCTGTGTCTCTTTGTGTTTGTGTCTCTTTGTGTTTGCGTCTCTTTGTGTCTGTGTCTCTTTGTGCCTGTGTCTCTTTGTGCCTGTGTCTCTTTGTGTTTTGTGTCTCTTTGTGTTTGTGTCTCTTTGTGTCTGTGTCTCTTTGTGTCTGTGTCTCTTTGTGTTGTGTCTCTTTGTGTTTGTGTCTCTTTGTGTTTGTGTCTCTTTGTGTCTGTGTCTCTTTGTGTTTGTGTCTCTTTGTGTCTGTGTCTCTTTGTGTCTGTGTCTCTTTGTGTCTGTGTCTCTTTGTGTTTGTGTCTCTTTGTGTCTGTGTCTCTTTGTGTCTGTGTCTCTTTGTGTCTGTGTCTCTTTTTGTTTGTGTCTATTTGTGTTTGTGTCTCTTTGTGTCTGTGTCTCTCTGTGTCTCTGTCTCTTTGTGTTTGTGTCTCTTTGTGTCTGTGTCTCTTTGTGTCTGTGTCTCTTTGTGTCTGTGTCTCTTTGTGTTTGTGTCTCTTTGTGTTTGTGTCTCTTTGCGTTTGTGTCTCTTTGTGTCTGTGTCTCTTTGTGTTTGTGTCTCTTTGTGTCGGTGTCTCTTTGTGTCTGTGTCTCTTTGTGTCTCTTTGTGTCTGTGTCTCTTTGTGTTTGTGTCTCTTTGTGTTTGTGTCTCTTTGTGTCTGTGTCTCTTTGTGTCTGTGTCTCTTTGTGTTTGTGTCTCTTTGTGTCTGTGTCTCTTTGTGACGCAAGGATGGGGAGAGCTGGAGGCCCGAGGTGTGCACCTCCTGCGTGTGCCACAACGGGAGCCAGCGCTGCCAGCCCATCCAGTGCCCCCCCACCCTCAGCAGCTGCCCCCAGGTGAGTCGCGAGTCTCCTCCTGCTCCTCCTCCTGCTCCCCCTCCTCCCCCTCCTCTTTCCTCCTGCTCCCCCCTCCCTCCCCCTTCCCCTCCCCTCTTCTCCCTCCATCCTTCCTCCTCCTCCCTCCCTCCTCCTCGCTGCGCTGGGAGAGTCGCCCTTGTAGGAGTGTGCACGCAGGCTCCGTGTGCATCCTCACTCATCGCCACGTCCACTGCGGGGCAACGGATTCGGCGTTTCCATGCGTGCCCCCCCCCCTCCCCCCACGGGGAAGCCGATGATCCGACCAGCCGAGTGAAATCGGCTCTTACCACCCCGCATGAGTAAGAGGTCCTGCAAGGGATCTCAGAAGTAGATCTGGACATCACCTTCCGTGGGCCGCTGTGGAACACGTGGGCGACGCGCTGCTGCTGCTGCTGCTGCCGTGTGAGAGTGTTCCACGTGTGGGTGTTTCCCCGTCTCGTCATCTTCACGGCGTCGCTCTTCGCTCGCCGTCTCTCTCCCTCCGGCTTGCACCGCGGCGTCTAGACCTCAACACGCTACGATGTGGCTCATGGATGACTCCCGAAGACATTACAGACGATTGCCTTTTTACACGCAATGATTACAACGTACGGGTTTCCGATGCGGTGGGATTTTAATCAAAATCAGCGCTTAACCACATACATTACAAATACATTGCTGATTAAAGTGAATCGATCAGTTGATAAGTTGATTGATTTGACGTGACTATTTTACCCATCGTTATTCAGAACGTAACGCTTTTTCGAGCTAACGGGATGCAACTGCCGTGATTACAACTCCACCCGGAGCCCTGTGATCGCTACCTCGGCTTGCTGTATAACTTGAGGGAAAGCTTTGCATCCCAACATTTTCAAACATTCGTAGGTCATCTTGATGTTTAAATCCGGGGAGTGTGCATTCTGTAGCAGATTAGAACCCCCACGCCACTGGCAGCCCTCGGCCCAGAGGTTATGGAATTTATTGTTTTTGCACTCGGCGCTGATCTGCTTAAGACAGAGCATCCTCTTCATCGGTCTTCTCGCTTCCTCCTGAGCATGCGTCGCTTTCGCACGTGACCCGTGCCCGCTCTGTCAAGCGCCTGACCTTTAGAAAAGATACAGTCGCCCCTTTTGTTTTTCTAAAGTGATGGAGGAAGTTCTTGATGAACCCTAATTGCCCGAGGCAATAACGGCGGTATGTCAAGGCCATGGCTAAATGCCCTCTTACCCTCTAAGTGCCTCACTGGAATCCAGAGTGCTCTTTTTAAGGATTCTGTTTTATCAGCAGCCATTGCTTTCGATACCCCGCACACGATCGCCGCTTTACAGCTGCGAACGACAGGCACGTTGATAACAAGAAAAACCTCCATGAAATAGAGGAGACTGCACAACTTTCAGATAGCGACACTGACATTTCTTCCAACTCTTATTCCTTCCTGATCCATTCTCCTCTCTCTCTCTCTCTGTGAGGGATGAGCTAACCGGGTCTCGCGGCTGGCTGAACGGCGGGACGTTTGTATCGTTGGAGTATCGACGAGCCGCCAATTGGTATCGCTCCTCCTCTTACACTGTAGCCCTTCTTCATAGAGCTATGGTCGCCTATATTCCTCCTCGGGCAGAAAGGCGAAACGGCAAAACGCCAATGGCTACACGGCACATACGCCGAGAGACGAGCCTTGGGCTGTGAGCGTCGGCCAACTCACAGCCAGCGTGCCAGTCGCCCTCGCTGGAGTGCGTTGGGGCTGCGGGGCCGAGTGGGGGGGGGGTGGGGGGGGGGGGGGAGGGGGGGGGCGAGCGTTTCGTCTCTCGCCCCTCCGTGTGAATGTTGTCAAACCAATTGCTCACCGGTGAGTGAATGCCCGTTCCGTGTGGTGACCTTGAGGATATCCCGTGCACGTGGGACGCGACACGTTTCCTGTCCAGCACTCGCTCGCACGGTGCACGTTGAAGTACTTGTGAATGACCTGTCGTGATCTACACGGGGGCGATTCATCTTTGAGGCCGCACCTCATCACATTTTCTTAATCGTGATAAACATAAAACGTATAAGGATTTAATTCATCACAATTAGCGGAAACATTCTCATCCAGCTTTCAAGCCACTGCTGAATGATGAAGGCCTCCCCACTCTGTGTAGGGCATTAGGGTGGCTTCGCGAGGGCTGCGGATGTGAACGTGCCACATTCTAATTGGCGACCCTTTGTCCTTTCAGGGAAAGGTTTTGACCCAGAAGCCGGACGAATGCTGCCTCAAGTGCGCCGAAAGTAAGTCTCCTTTGTTGCCCTCATGACCAAAATCGTCCCACGGTGGCTCTCCTCGACAGCTCGACGGCAGATGCAGCGGAGACGGCCCACGTGGGCTGAGGTGTTGCCGTCCCAACGGCTGGAGCCGCCCAACAAGATCCCTCGTCCGGGATTTGTGGCTCGCCGGGGCCGTGGGCTTTGAAACACAAAAACTTTGCGATCCTGCGGTGCATTTAGCCGTCCTCGTTTGAATATGGACGACGGGAGCAAGTGTGCGATGCGGTGGAGGAGGGGGGGGTGGGGGCGGTGGGGGAGTTATTATTTGGCAGGAGTTTTACGGTCGTGCTCACGGATGAGAGAGCGATCCGCTACCGCTGCTGCACAAGCCCTGATAGCGGAGTCAGCTGGGGCGCTGGTACCGAGGTTACGACGTTGAACGGTCGCTGCGCGGCGTGCGGAGCGAGTGAAACGCGACTCCTCCCGTCACCCGCTCCGACCTGGCCGGTGGCACGACGAACGCTCGCACGCTAGAAACGCCGCCCTCTCGAGTGCTCCGTGGCACCGAGTGACAGGCTCAGCGGTCGGGGGGTTTCCCACGCGTTCCTTTGCATCGGGGACGTGGCGCAGAAAAGCCCGTGCCGCAATTTAACCGCGTGCGGTTCGGCTGGCACCCGTTACCCTTGACGATGAAAAGTCAACGCAGGTTGAAATTTGAACAAAACGATGGCACACTCGGGGGGCGCCGTGTTGTTTGCAGCGGCACGGGGTCGGTGAGCCAACGAGCACCAAGCTGCTCGTGTAGAGACGGCGATGGTGAAGGGGAGGCGTGACCTCCCCCAGCGATGAGAACGTTTGGATGCCCGCTCAGTCAGAGCCACGCTGCCCCACCGCACGCAGTGGGCAGGAGGCAGCAGCAAGGGGCGGAGCGAAACTCGCTGGGACTGTGCGACTCAGCGGTGGCCAAGAGCGGCCTGACACGGGGGTCGAGCCCTTCCCGACGGAGATCCACGCCTCCGTCTCCTTGTCGCATCGGAAGCGGTTCCAAACATGGCACGCTTTTTAATAGGGCTCAATACGGATTTATTCCGCTTCAATACAATTACATTGTTCAGTTTTAAAGGCGGGAGCCATCGATCTCCACCATTGCCCCCCACCCTCTCCCCTCCCCCCCAACACCGGATCCGCCACTGCCCATTGCGTGAGACCGTGTGACGACGTGCACTCGCGAGATGTGTCCACATTCACCCTGCTCACGGACGGCACACACGCGCGCGCGAGACAAGTGTACGCGTTGCGCGCGATGTCCCACCGCTCCGCCTCGGCGCCGCGCTCACGTCCCCCCGCGCGCGTGCGCAGAGCCGGGCGTGTGCACGGTGTTCGGCGACCCGCACTACCGCACCTTCGACGGCAAGGCCTACAACTTCCAGGGCACGTGCCGCTACACGCTCGCCAAGGAGTGCTCCCCGCCGCCGCGCGCCCCTCCCGCCTGGGCGCCGCGCGTCGAGGTGGTGGTGCACAACGACGCTCGCCGCACGCGCTTCTTCGCGTGGACGCGCGCCGTCGAGCTGCGCGTCGCCGGCGCCACCGTCACGCTGATGCAGCACCTGCGCGTCGCGGTGAACGGCACGCGCGTGCCGCTGCCCTTCGAGGGCCGCGGCTACGGCGTCAACGCCACGGGGCAGCTCGTCACCGCCAGCACCGCGCTCGGTGAGCTCCCCGGCGGGCCGTGCCGCGTCGCTGCGGTCGCCGATGGGGGGAAGGGGGGGGGGGTGGAGGAGGGGGAGGGAGCGTGGAGATGTTACCGCGAGGGAGGCGCGGCGTGAATATATCGAGCGGCGGCGACGACCATGACGGTGAAGGAGTCTTGAAAAATGTGGCGTAGCGGTTGGCGCGCTGCGACCTGAGCTCGATTCCCGCTCACGGCCAGCGCCGGTGACGACTCAAAAACGAGCAGCTGGTGCGGTGCGTAAACATCGCCACCGGGGAGACAAAGGCGGCCGGGCGTGGTGCTGGCCACCCACCCCCTCGTGTGCCGTGCCGGCCTTCATAGGTGCTGCTCGCTTAACAGCGCTTGCCCCTACAGTCCGTGAAGGCTTCACCGGGGCTTTTTGCCTTTACCTGGTGCGTGCGTGCGGCCGTCCAGGCCTGTCGGTGACGTGGGACGGCGACAGCTTCGTGGAGGTGACGGCGTCCCCACACCTGCGCGGCCGCCTCTGCGGCCTGTGCGGCAACTACAACGGGCACCGTCGCGACGAGCTGCTGGGCGGGGACGGCCTCTTCCGCCCGGACGTGGAGGAGTTTGCCGAGTCGTGGCGCGACTCGCGCGTGCCCTGCTCCGGTGCGCCGCGCCTCCTCGCGCCGCACCTCTGCTCCAAGTCGGCCAAGCACCGCGTGCGAGCGCACCGGGAGTGCCGCAAGCTCAAGTCGTGGGACTTCAAGAAATGCCACAACGTCATCGACGTCATCCCCTTCTACAGGTGCCACGCGGCCTCCGCTCGCTCGCTATTTGTCTGCCTGTCCCTCCGGCCGGCCGGCAAAAACTAAAAACGAATGAGGTACCGGACGTTGAATGGCCATCCTCGCCCACCCCTGGGTGCTCCCCTCTTGTGGGTGACCCCCCCCCCCCCGCTATATCCCCTCTTGGGTCACCTCCTCACCCGCGCCCCCCCGCGTCAACGCGCCCTCCCCCGCTTGCTGGTCGCCTGTGTGCCCCCTCCGCTCTGCGTACAAGGCGGCACGTAGCCAGGCAACCGGCAAAATATAAAAAAAAGATTATATATATGCATGTTGAACTTCTTTCGCACCGTACGTAGACAACCGTGCGAATCAGATGTGCGGTGGAAGGACAACAAACCAAATACAAAAACACGTAGGCTTTCGCGACCAGTATTATTCATAATTAATACTGTGGATTCACTCTTCAAACACACTAATTGGCGTTTTGTTAACGTTACACATTTTCTACCGATTGGCTGTGTTGGGTGGTGGAGGGTTGCGACACATTTATACTTACACGATCTAACCCAAAGGCCTTTATTATGAATGAATACAAAAAGTAGTTCTAAAGAAATTAGTTTTCAATTTAGATGTCAAAGTGCATAGCTGCAGTGGCTTCCTGATATCGTAATGAAGAGCGTTCCAGACGGCCACAGAAGCGCTTCTGAAAGCGCGTGGTGCAGTGACCAGTTTTCGCGGTAGTTTGGTATCGCGTTCACACGCGTACTTTAGTCAGTCAGGTATGCATTTGACTTATTCTTCATATTTATTTATAAACTTTCAAACGTATTAATTTACTCGTCATGTTTCGAGTGGTATATATTTAATTAGTTCCAAACATGTATTGAGTTTAAACATAGTTGAAATTATTTTTGTCAAAACAATCTGCTAAATAAATGATGCACTGAATTTTTATATAACAAAAATTATACTGCATCAAATTTTAAAAAGGTAATATGACCAAGTGTGCAGGAACCCCTTGGCCGGGATTGTTCGTCACGGTCTGGTTCAGGCTCGGCTCCGGCTCAAGTGAGCACGCGCTTAACCCGAGCCAGGCGTGAGCACGGTCCAGGCCACGCTTAGGATTTCAATGAGCCTGAGCCGAGCCACGGGCAGAGCCGTGCCTCGCGAGCCACGACTCTGTCCAACACTCGGGCACGGCCGCAAAAAGCAAATCGCTCTTCCGTCTCCCCGCGCCGCTTCCGAAGGGCACCTCGCCGCTCCCTTGCACCGTGCGCCTTGGCCCAAAGCAGCACCCGTGGCAGCGGTGAATTTAAATCACTGTCAAGTGACACAACAATGGAACGTGCCTCGGTTAGCATCGAGCTGCAGACCACCCATTCAGCCACGCTCCCGGCGGGTTGCCTCGGCTCTGGTGCAAGTCCTGGCTCACGGCTACCGTGAGGGGGTGGGGGTGATGGGGGGGGGGGACTGGCTCACTCATTTTTCGTGCACTGCGGATTTCTGGAGCTGATGAGCGCGGCCCCCGAGACTCCCCCGAGTGATCGGAGGCAGCCGCGGGGTTCTCCCCAACCTAGCGGGCAGGGGGGGGGGGGATGCGGCATCACGGCAGGTGGGAGCGCCAGGCGGGATATCGACGTTAGAAATCGGCGCGCGTTCAGGGTCTGTTTGCTATTTTTGGGTAACGGATGGAGTTTACGTTGTCGATTTGAAGAAATAAGCACAGCCCCTACTCGGGTCCCCGCGCGACAAGTGAGAGCAGATGAGCGAGGGACGCGTGGGGAGGCAGCAGAGTTGAGCCGGAGTCGAGAGAGCGAGTAAGTACAATTAAAATAATTTGGCTTCGAGCACGCACCATGCAAAGCTACTGCTGCCACGGGGCCTCTCCGCACAGCTGCGTTGCGGTGGGTCTGCATCGTTTGCCTCCTTCAATCCTGTTGGTAAAAACAACTTGTTTGAAGTATGTGATCGGTTGTTTGTACGAGGAGTTTGTAGCATAGCGGAGGGGAGCGGCGGGGTGTAGGTTGGGGGGGGGGGGTAACGCCGCAAACACAAAAAACACCAAGACAGAGCTACGGGGAAGCGGCGGCAGCGGCGGCGTCTGCCCCGGGTGAGCGAGCGAGGAGCGATACCTCGGAAGGAAGGAAAGCAAACACGCTGCCCTGCGCGTGTTTGCCCAGCACGAAGCGCCGTAAGAGGCACCGCACCATCAATCTGCGTGCACCCTCTCGTTGGCCACGCGCGCCGCCGGTCCGTCTCGCGGCGAGCGGAGCGGGGGGGACCTCGCGTCGCGGCCGACGGCACGCACGGCGCGTCGCGCTCACGCCCGCGGGCGAACCCCGGGGACCACCCACGCCGCCTCCCGGCGCACCTCCACGCAGCGGCCGAGTTGGCGGCGAGGTGGAGGGGGAGGAGCAGGAGGAACGCACCGCGCCGAAAGACAAAAATGAGGCCGCGCCGGTGGACCGAGCGTGGCGGCGGAGTTGTTTGTGTCGGGGGTAGGGCCCGATGTGGGGGGCTGCGGGGGGTCGCGGGGGTCCACCGCACACCGCGCTGTTGTTCGACGTGGCTGGGAGACTCCCGCAACATTCTGGGCAAGCAACATCGTGTTGCCGTGACGGGCGATTGTGCCCCTGGCCAATCCTTGTACACGCGGGATCGCCCGAGCAGTGGGTTCAGCACCGGCCGGGAGGTGTAACCTAGATTCAATGTCATCATCGTGGAGTAGTTCATGTGATTTAAACATGTGTTGGATTGGGTTTGTCAGTTCTGCGTTGAGTGTGGCAACGGTGATTATCGTCGTACCGTCCGAGCAGTTGCCAAGTCACCGTGCTGCTGTGATGTCACCAGTAGCCACAGGGACCCCACGCACGAGGTGGTGGTGGGGGTGGTGGTGGGGGTGGTGGAGGTGGTGGTGGGGGTGGTGGTGGGGGTGTTGGAGATGGTGGTGGTCGTGGTGGTGGGGGTGGTGGTGGGGGTGGTGGTGGGGGTGGTGGTGGTCGTGGTGGTGGGGGTGGTGGTGGGGGTGGTGGTCGTGGTGGTGGGGGTGGTGGAGGTGGTGGTGGTGGTGGTAGTGGAGGTGGTGGTGGTGGTGGTGATCGTGGTGGTGGGGGTGGAGGTGGTGGTCGGGGTGGTGGTGGTGATGGTGGTGGTCGTGGTGGTGGGGGTGGTGGTGGGGGTGGTGGTCGTGGTGGTGGGGGTGGAGGTTATGGTGGGGGTGGTGGTGGGGGTGGTGGGGGTGGTGCTGGGGGTGCTGGGGGTGTTATCACCGCTGGATCTCTGCCCCGATTCTACTTCACACTGAACGTTGTTCTGTGGCAGGGACTCTTGCCTGAACCTTTCTCTTTTCAACCCCACTATGAGTCAGGCTAATTGCTCTAAGCTTTGATGAAACGTCTCTATACAGGAAGCCAAATAGATGTTACAGTTCATTTCATGTTAACTTCCAGATAGATTGCAGTGTTTATGGTTTGTGGAAATTCCGCGATTATTCAACGTGTGATTTACAAGTAAGAACGCATTTCCTTTGCCGAGGAATTAACCGAATGAACGTGATTACACACACAGCGATTTGCTGCACCACAGTCGAACGGCAAGCCGCTAGTGGTGGGGTAAAGTGTGGGTATTCCCATCCCCAAGGTGTTTGGCCCTGCATGGAAGAGTAGGCCACACTGCAATCTCTAGGGGCTTCCTAGGACTCCCTAGAGGAGGCCTTTCCACCAGCAGCGGCGTGAGTGAGAGATTTCAGGATTGGTCATTTGCCTGCTACCCAAACGGCAGCCGTGATTTGTCTTCGCAAGTTCGAGGATTTCGCCGCGATCTCACGAACCCACCGTTGCCGAGGAATTCACCGAATGAACACGGACACAAAGACGAAGACCCCCCCTAATGTACCCGACACAGCCTGTGCAGGGTAAGTGCCGTTAGCCAGCACACACACACACCGCGCTGAAGTCCGCCGTGCGCGTGCGTGTCAGGTCGTGCGTGATGGACATGTGCGAGTGCCCGCTGCACAAGCGCTGCTTCTGCGAGCCCTTCCTGGCGTACTCGCGCGCGTGCGGCCGTGAGGGCGCCCCCGTGCGCTGGGACCCGCTGCTGCACTGCCAAGGTGAGACCCGCGCCACTGCTCGCAAGCACGCGGAGACAGACAAAGATGCCCCCGCGGAGCCGTCAACAGACTGCTAGGGCAAGTGCCGTCAGTGAACACGAGGGGGTGGGTGGCCAACACCATGCCCCGGCTGCCTTTGTCTCCCTCGTGCTGATGTTTGCACGCTATAGCGGGTACTCATTTACGGTTGAGTTGACCTAAAGGAGCCCCAGGACCAGTGTACATATTCGCCACTGTTACTGGTCGTTAACGCGGGAATTGGTTGCTGGGTTTGTGCCGCTGCTGCTGCTCCCCACAAATGCACGCACACACACACATTCATTTAACGCGGCAAATAAAAACACGATTATAACCAATCAAGAATATCATCATCATCATCATCGGGCACAAAGATTCAAGATTGTTTTCAGCTGTGGAATCATCGTGATACTTCCCGCGTTGTGGTTCACTGTTTTAAACTCAACAATGAAACCGCCGTCATTTACACGGGCAAGCGGTGGTGAGTCTCAAGACTTGTCCAGGGCGGTGCTGCCCTGGGGGTGCTGCTGCTGCTGCATGTGGAAGGAAACTTGAGTTCCTGGAGAAACCCGCACGTGTAACGAGGAGATCAACGCTCAGAATCCCTGACCCTGTGGCAAGACACTGAGCCAGCACCACCGAGGCCCCGAGGCCCGACCCAGCAACCACTGGGGGATTCATCAGCTGCGTCTCGTGCATTGCGAGTCCAAGCGCTGCGAGAGAGTCGCCAGCAACCACACAGCCAAATTGCATCATTGGGTACGAAATACACCGCAAGAGAACTCTACAAATTGCTCTGAAAGAACCGTAAAGGTGCATCCCTGCAATAGCTGGCTTCACGCCACTGCTGGTGGAACTGCCTCCACGAGAGGGAGGCTCTAGAGGGTATTTGGCCTACTCTTCTATGCTGGTCACACGACTTGGAAGAGGTCGGCGTACCCACGCTTTACCCCACCACACGCGACATTACGATCGATGGACCGTGCCGGGACCCGTTTCTACCGCTGGCTATGAACGTGGCAGCGCTTTTGAGCGGCAGCTTTGCGCCAGAGAGGCGCCACGGCGCGCGTCGCGCGAGCGACGACGACGACGACAAAACTAAACAGCGTCCACCCTGACGATGTCACGTGCCGTCCGCGTGTTCCCACAGAGCCCGTGTGCCGGCACGGCGCCGTGTGGTCGGCGTGCGGGCCGGCGTGCCCGCGCAGCTGCCGGGACGGGAACGCGGTGCCGCCCGCGTGCCACGAGCCGTGCGTGGCCGGCTGCCACTGCCCAGCGGGCGCCGTGCTGCACCAAGGCCGCTGCATCGCGCCGGCGCTGTGCCCCGCGCCGTGACCGCCCGGCACGACTGGCTCGGAGGAGCGCCCCCCACACACACACCCCCCCCCCGTCTCTCTCTCTCTCTGCCGGCGATCGGATGTGGGCAGCGGGCGAGTTGTCGTTGTTGGAAGCTCGTCTGAGTTTGGCGACGGCGGTGGTGCAGGTGGCGCCGCTGTGTTTATCGAGTGCGCTGTGCGGGGGGCCGTGTGCGTGACTGGACGGAGAAGCGGCGGCATCACTCTCGCTCGGCGCGTTCGTTTTACGGAGCCCCCCCTCGCCGCCGCCAGTAAGATGTTCTCAACCTACATGCCGTGCATGCGTTGCCATGTTTGTACTTGAATGACGATATCGCAAGTGTTCAAACTTGTTCTAATTTAACGGTGCTTTTATTCTTCCCGAAACAAAAAACATAAAACCACGAGGAAGCAATTAAGGGCCCTTCGGTCAGGTGGGCGGGAGACGCCGCTGCACGTGACTCGACGGGCAGAGGGCCTCGCGCGAGCGTGCACGCGGCACCCCCGGGGCAGCGTGGGCGACGCTCAACGCGCTTCAGCAAACGGTTCAACGCCGAACAGAATGAGTCACGACGCGATCAGCTTTTGTCTCTCGTGCCGTTCTGCTCCGGCTCGCAATCCCCCCCCCCCCGCGTCTACGGGGAAGGGCTGAGACACACTCAGAGGGGGGGGGGTGGGGGGCACGGCACGCGCTGGTCATTGCGTGACGCCCCGTGGCCGAAGCCCAGCGCAGCAGCGTGAGCACGAGGCTCGGCGGAGCCACGCGCTGCATGGCGGTGTGCGCTCAGCATCTGCACAAGAAGAGTTTGTCGTCGTCACGAGGGAAGCCGGCGAGTGTGGTAGTGGGCGCAGCGCCGTTATTTATGCGCCGTCCTCTCTCCTGGGACGGCAGTCGTTCCCATCGCCACAGCCCATGATTGCATCCAGCTTTGTTTTGAAAAGTGCTGTACTTATTTTGTTGTCCGCAGTCCAAATTCATCTCCACACCATCGCCGCCTCCTCTTCCCTGCCCCAACGTACGCCTTCTCCTCCACCTCCTCCCCCTCGTTCCCACAGCTGTCATTTTACCGTTCCTTTTCACAGTACTCTGCTGTGACTTTATCCCTCACTTTGACCTCCCCCCACACCTGACCTTTGACCTCCACACCTGACCTTTGCAGGCAGGGCCACCTCCTCCATTCCCCACACGACACCTCTCTGCCACCTACATTGCATCATCATCATCATCACCGCAGTGCTTTCTGTCTGCCTCCCTCCTCCTCCCCTTGCTCCACTTTCTCTTTTCGCCTCTTCCTCCGTGGCGTCCATCCTGCTCCTTCTTGGCCACGAGTCACCTTCCTCCACGGCCGCCTCTTCTCTCCCGGGTCGCTGCCTCTCTCTCTTCCCCTTCCGTCCATCCTTACAATTAGTCATCCACTTCCTTCTCCACACGGGCAATCCGCACGCCTCTTCTGCTACATCATTCTCATCTACACCTCATCGTCACCGTCGTATATTCTGTTCGTCGTCCGTTCGTCCCCACGGCCACTTCTCTTCCGCCCATAGGCAGCGCCACAACAGGGCAGGGAGGCTGTTGCTACCCCCCCCCCCTCCCCCGTTACCTGGCAGGCTGTTGGACAGCCTGATACGAGCAGCCTGGGTGCAGATCTCGAGAGATAAGAGCTCTCTGTTTTTGTGTGTCGCATTGTTTAGACTGTTGGACCGGTGAGGAGGTGACGCATCTGCGTGATGTTTGCCGCCTACGTCATTGAAGCGAATGCCACCCCGGTCCTTGTTCTGGTCTCAATATCGTCGACGCAGGGAATCGATCACCCCGACAGCTGGAAGTTGTGTCACGTTAAAAATGTCACTCGCATCTAAATGTCGGAGCCTCATTAATACGCCGACCGCGCAGTGTTGATGGTGGAGTTGTGAGCCAAACGTTACTTCGGCTGCCATTGCGAAGCTGTTACAATGCAGGTGTGAGTGTTTGCTGTTGTTGTCATTTTGCACATCCCTTGGCACCGTTTCCTCTAAGATGACTTCCACCGCCCACCCACGTGATACCGGTGGCTATTAAAAATCAACAGGCCTCCCTCAATTCGCTAGGAGATTGACTCAGCCCTTTCTCAATCCATGCCATAAAACCGAGTACCAGAGTGAGGTGTTTTTTTGTGTTTCACGGTGAGACTTTCCCCTCACAACAACAAGAATGTGGAATTTCCAGCACTGGCTCAGGCTGTGAATTGGAGATGAGCACGAGTTTTCAGCAGGAAACCACTTCGGAGTTTGAGAGCGTTCGTTGGCCTCCCCGCTGTGAGTGCGATGTCCAGGAGCGACGCTGATTGAAGCCACCTGTGCAGGCCTGTGGTTGGCGCGCAGCACGGACGTTTCATTTCAGTTAAGCCTCGGATTCGGGGGCCCTGAGGTGCAGGGGCTCGTTGTGCGATTGTGGGGATGAATGCAGGCTTCGCCTCCATAACAATCAGCAAAATATTGTCAATAGAATATTATTCTTTGATTCCTACTACAACAACAACATCAAACCAGAACACCAGTTTATTTGAAGATGTTTTTTTTTCCCCATCGCCCTCATTTCCAAAGGGGGCCCGCAAACAGTTGCGGCCTGGTCAAGCTGCTTACACAAAAGCCACATGCGACCACAGCACTCCCATCCATGCCCCTCAGCTCAGGGAATCATCGTCGTCGTCGTCAAGCATGGACAATCCACTGCTGGAGGAAGATCTCCCAAAGCCCCTCCGGTGTGTGATCCTGCAGTCTCATCTCACAGCTGTGGGAGAGCCACCCGAGTTGGCACGCAGCACGTGTGGCCTGGACGCCAGGCCAACGGGGGATGGCATCGCTGCGCTGACCCCTCGTGAGCCCCCTCGGCACCCCCCCCCTGCGCCCCCCCTCCCCCCTGCGCCCCCAGCAGCCTCGCGACTCCCCGTGAGGCCCTGCGGCGTTTGCCAGCAGGGAAAGCGTTTGTAAATATTTGCAGAGTTGTGAATGAGTTGTAATTTATGTTCCGCGTATTCGTCGTGTTTTTACTTTGACCGTATGCAACTGCGATCTCATCTGCGCTTACTTTGCTGCAGGGCTTTGCGTAAGGCACTAATATGATTTATTTATTACATGCATTGTTGAAAGTTTTTATTTTTTATTTCATTTTAAACGTCATTTAATTTTTCGTCTTATTATCTTCATACCGATTTTATTTGTCTCATCGGAAAGATGACCGTGCCCAGGGATGCACTCTTTGCAGCCAGACTTCTGATTATTAACAGCTGCTTGGCATGGCATTGTTGATATATAGCGGCCGTGTAAGAAGGGATTAAAAGATTTAAAATTGTGCGCGTGGAAAATGTACAGCAAGAACCATTATGCCTCATCATCAGTTGGCTTCGAATCAACGATGACAACAAAACAGCGTAGCACCCAACGTACAACCACGAGGAGGACATTTGCTGCCCAAAGCATTTTAAACAATCACGCTCCCAGACGATGGACATTTGTTCGCCAATTCTGGATGTCGCTGACCCAATTCCGGCTATCGCTGACCCAACGGAGCATGTCAACATGCTTTCTTCTTTCACGTACGTTGAACTTCCTTTGCACCGTACGTAGCCAAATGCGCTAATCGGAGGTGCGGGGGAAGGATAACAAGCTAAACACCGAAAACTATTAAAAACAACCGGTTAGTTTAACACGTAGAGTTTTGCCACCAATATCATCCATAATTTGTTTTTTTTTTGGGTTAGATCGTGATCTAACCCAAAAAGATCGTTTTTGGGTTAGAACGTGATCTAACCCAAAAAGATCGTGATCTAACCAAAAAAATACCCTCTAAACAACCGGTTGTGAGCCACGCTGCCGAGTTGCTTCACGACACCGTGAATTATCATGGTGGGACACGAGGCCTCTCGTCGTGGAACGCGAAAAGTGAGCAGTCGTCCCCGTGTTCACCCAGCCCAGCAGCTCCTTGGCTGCCGCGCTCCGACGAGGTTGTTTGGGGTCGTACCGCTCGGTGTCGTTTCGGCAGCGACGTCCAACGTTTCGCTCCACGTGCCGGGAGCTTCATAAACGTCGGACAACACGAGGGCAGGGCGGCGGCCGTGGTAACTTTTGTTGTCTCACAGCCAGAGGCACCTGGGTTGTTAGATCACTGACTCGGGCGCCTCTCCGTGTGGGGTTTGGATGTTCTCCCCCGGTTCTTCCGAGCTAAAACTACGGGGTGCTGGCCACACATCTTGATGCGGGGACCCTCTTGAGAAAGGAGCCTTTTTTTCTGTGATGATTATACAATCAGAAAAGACATCGAGGGGAGAGCTATGCAACACAACCGCGACATTGTATGCAGCGACTCTTTGTGGTGTCGGGACGCCATCTCCCCCAAGGTGCTGGATTTAGGATGATGCAGAGCCACTGGATGCTCTTCACGATACGCTCCGTTTCGTTATCTCCCGAGAACGTTGAGGTTTTGTATATTTTTTATTGTGCCTTCGGTCAAAGAACTTGTTGAGTAAAGCCCAACATTGCAATGTATTTGCAACTATACCAAAACAAGTGCTCAAGTTGTGTTTGGCTAAATTTAGACGTCAGTTAATAAATGTTGGCCGTCGCTACAAAAGTGAGAAATCAGGGGGTGGAAGGTTTACCTACGGAATGAAAATCTGGAATCGCATCGGTTTTTGAGGTCTGTTTGAAAGTTCCGTGTATTACACATAGTCTGTAAAAGTTGCTTTTGAAGCAAGACTTTAAAAGTGTTAATGCCTCGCAAACATGTGTTCGCTGGTCCAGGGCATTGTTGGTGTTTAATAACCACCGGTATCAAGATTCACAGCTGAGCACATCGCTAAAGAATGTATTCGCATGGATCAGGGGTGGTGTGACGAGCAGTTATGTTCCGTGGGTAAACCAAAATTGCAACGTAATGGCGTGAATATGTAAGTTTGTGATCACAGCGTTTAAAATCCGCACGTCATTGACATGTTGCTTTGCTTGAGGGTGGCATCTCAGTTGCGTCTTGCAAGTGGTGCCGTGGTCTTTTAACAAACGAGCGTTAAAGATTGGACGAGAGAGGGACAGTATTCGCTACGTGGCAAGACCAGGGCATTGTACAAGTGACCTCGCTCGCTATTTGACGATCACCTCGCCCACAGCGTCACAGGACTATGAGGCTCTGACGAGAGCCACGCTCGCAAGTTTGGGAACCGTTTACAAAGTTGTTCAGAGTCAGGGACGTGGGCCTGGGGGCACCGCGATGAGAGCGGTGCCCTGCTGTGGCTGCCGCGAGTCGCTTTCGGGTTCTCTGCTAGGAGCGCCTTGCGTCGACACAGACCACCCACCCGTCCCCAGGGTCACGCGGCACACGGTGACAAGATGCCCCGCAATAGCCTTGAACAGAGTGTCGGGGCAAGCGCTTCGAGTCGACCTGGGGGAGACACGGGACCCGATCAGACAACTCGGGTTGCCGGGTTCGCAGCGCAGCACGCTAGAGCCACTACACTGCCCCTCCCCATAGCACACACACACAGGTACACACACAAATATACATACAGGTACACATACACACGCACAGGTACACACATACACACGCACAGATACACATACACACACGCACAGGTGCACACACACACACAGGTACACACGCACACAGGTACACACACACACGCACAGGTACACGCACACAGGTACACACATACACAAAGATAAAAGACAAAGATCCCCCGTATAGCCTTAACATACTGTAGGGGCAAGTGCTGTTAGCGAGCACCTACACACATACACGCACAGGTACACACACGCACAGGTATACACACACGCACAGGTGCACACACACGCACACAGGTACACACACACGCACACAGGTACACACACACGCACACAGGTACACACACACACGCACAGGTACACACACATACACACACGCACAGGTACACACACACACACACACTGAGTAAGTTTTAGTAACAATACTGAGGAGGGTAAAAAAAGAACTAGTTATACAACCGTCAACCTGAAATGTCTTATATACGGTATAGTTATATACATTGAGTTATATATGGATAATATATTTAGTAATGAAAATAATTAAACCATGTAGTTAAATTCATCCATTGTATGTTACTATTATGTACATTAAAATAAAATGACGTTTCAAAAAATCTATTGCATTTGATTCACTTTCGTGACGTGAAAATTCAAAACCACGAACAACGTGGTTCTTCTTTAATACCTGCTCAGGATTGATGCACTGCACCACGTCCTGCCCTGTGCCTCGTGTTGTGTAGTCGGGCATTCAGCTGACTAGACATCACACACGGTCATCACACAAGGTCCACCGTGATAAACTTGTTACTGTCAAATTGATGTCAACTGAAAGAGGAGAACTCCTCTGATCCGTGCTGGTATACGGGACCATCCTGATATTCGCGGGGTCATTTTACTCCACTTATTCACACTGATCGCGAAATGGCCTTCACTAGAAGAAGCTTCTTAGAGCCCCTTCAGTGTGTATTTGGCCTACTCTTCCACGCTGGCCATGAATCTTGGTGGAGGTGTGAGTTCGCACACTTTACCCCACCCCCCACACGCTGCCTGCCGATCGACTGTGGTGGTGAACCATTCACACCGCTGGGTGGACACAGGGCGACGGGAGGATTTGAGAAACTTGCTCCCATTGTTTCGACTGCCGCGCCAGGAGGTCGGACCCCGTGACCTCTGGACTGAGAGTCCGGTGTGCCGCCCGTTGAGTCACGGCAGCCTGCTGCACCACAAACAGGCGGCGTGGTGAAATGCGTGGATTTGGAAAACGTCTTCGTCGGGTCGGTCACACCGGCTGACCCCTTAGGCCTCGTTGAAGAGGCGGGGTGTGTACGATGGTCATCCCGTCTCCAGGACACGCGTGATGACGATGTGCCCACAAGGCACAATGCCTGCGCCAAAATAACACGGCGACTCCGCCTGATATTGCCCAGGAATGTGCGACTCTTGTTTGCTTTGTCTCTTATGTGCAGATGCGTGGCGAAGATATTGCGCGAGTGCTAAGTACGTGTACAAGGAGACTGCGGACAGGAGGGACTCCCCGTGGTGACGGCGTACAATGTGTCACTTGTCACGCACGTGGCTCTCTGCAGCACGCACACTCAGCAGCGAGCGCACGCATTACATCGCACAACTGCTCTTCTTGTTAGTCCATAAATTATAGGGATGCATTGTTCTGATTTCCTTAAATCCGCTGATGTTAAATACATTTCAGACGTTGGTTCCAATTCTTAGAGGGTCCAATCAACATTCCTTCAGATGCAATCAGCAGGATATAATCCCGATCGGCTGATCAATATCAAATGACCGTCATCGCCGTCTTCGCATAGCCGATTGAGCAAAACAAAAAAAACGCGGCGCTTTCGGCTGCGTTTTTCCTACGGAGAGACTGACCCCTGCCATGGGAATGTGGAACTTTCACCACGGGCTTAAGGTTTGCCCGTGCAGAGGTGTCATTGCCCGGTTTGCTGCTTTGAGCGTGGAGCCACTCCGACCATTGATTTGTGCTACCTCATTGATTGGTGATACCTCATCCCTTCCACAAGCAACGATGTTCGATGATGATGATAATAACGGAGTGGCTACCAAGAGACAGGACGCGTCCGACATGCACGTCTGCTGGAGAGATGGAGCTGGTTAGATTGCTACAACGCAGAATCGTAATAAAGGGCCATTTGGGTAGGCCTTCATCCAGCGGGGGATCGAGCATGTCCTAGGATTACTGATTGCGGTACGTATAGCCGCAGGGAAGGTTCGTTACTTGTAGATTGTTCGTAGTTGAAACGCAGGTGAGTGACTACACACACGTCATGTTGATGATTGTTGCAATGGATAGAGATGCGTTGTAGCCAATTGGCTAATCAGTCTGATAAGCCAAGCCGGACGTATGACCCGTCTTAATAAGGTCACGCGGGGATATCCTGATCCGATCTGATTGTTTAAGGCTCAAACCAGCTCTGGTACAATTACAAACCAAACCAGCAGCGCGCATGATAACATCATGCAAATGAGCGAGAAAGAATTTACTAGCATTCGACGAGAGATGTTTCTGTGCAAGTGAATCATTGTTACCGCTGCTACCCGGCACAATCACACACGGAGGGAAGTTACCGGGAGGATAGCGGCACGAAGACTTAAAAAACACGCGGTCCCTTTCTAGGCAACAGAGAACGGAGCCGATGTTGAAAAACACGAGGAGGTGGTGAATGCGGTGGGTGACTGAGATCGCCACAGTCGAGTGGGGGACATGGGTCCAGGTCTGGTGTCTCACACGTGCTGGGTAATCATCTCAATGTCGGTGAGGCTCGTGGATTGATGAAGGCCTTTAAAGTTCAAATCAGTTTGTAAAAACAACTTTCCGGCTTTCTAGGAGGATACGGAGGGCGGGTGGGGGGTAGGGCGCGCAGCTACTGTGCACCATTCTTGTGGTTGCGTCGCGCTGTGTCGAGTTTTATTATTTTAATAGAACGGAAATTAAAGTGCAGCGGAGGCTAAATGTAAGCGGCTCGGCGCTGCTGCTCGCGCCGAGCTGCAGCGTTCCGACACCGCAGGCACAGCGGGGAAGGCGCAGCTGGGGCTCTCTCCATCCTCCTCCTCCATCCTCCTCCTCCATCCTCCTCCTCCCCCTGCCGCTCTTCCTCCCACCGCGACTCGCGGCCGGTAGCGATCCAAGGCCGGTCCACAACCCCACACGCACGCTTCTAAGAGAACCTCGTCTGCATTATTACGCCAAAGGCGTAGCGCTACAATTTCTGGCACGCGCCACGACTGCGGAAGGGCCGTCCTTAGAGGGAGTTCTAGAGAGTTCCCTCCAGAGGTGTATTTGGCCTACTCTTCCACGCAGATCATTACGTTTAAATCCTACGTCTGCCCTTTCCACCATTGCCTTCGGGCGACTCACAGCATTGAGCACTGTCAATGCCTTTGGCGCGTGGAGAATATTCAAATATCTCATCGGACCGATATTCAGCGATGTGATACTCTTCACTTGACATGTTTCATAATTGTGTTAATCAAATTTAAATGTGACATTACGTGTTCTTGTAATCCTGGATTTCCAATTCTCCACGCGGATAGACCCACGCACCGCTTAGATTCCTATCTATGGCGATATCTTGCCTACAGGAGGCTGTAACCCCCCCCCCCCCCCACCGAGCGAATCGCTCCGAGCCACGTGCGCTTTCGTCTCATCCTCAACCCCTCTGCTCCGTTGGAGGGCTCCTCGGTAGCGTTACTGCTTGACGCTGGAATGCAGTGGTCAGAGTTCATTATCGGTGATGGGAGTTCTTGTAGCGTACAACAGTTGCGTGTTGTTTGGATTACTTGCAAGTGTCGTGTGCAGCTCCTGCATCAAACCAAATAAACCCTGGACATCCTCAACGTCTTGCGTTTCCGCCGGCTCGATGCACGGGATTGTTGCTTTACGGCGGCCACAATCGGTGGAGCCATTCTCCTCGACACGCGTGGCCCAGTGCCGTTTGATTCATGGGCTCAAACAACAGCGCTGCGTTGTGATGAAGCTGCTGCTGCTGCTGCTGACATTTGACTTTCGCTGCGTGAATTACGGGTCAACTCTCGAGTCGAAGGCAAAATCCGCGTCCTCCTGCCCCGCTGAGATCTGTTACGGGAGGCGACTACATTTCTCGACTTAGCATCTCGGGAAGCCACTGAGTGACGGATTGCTAAACTATTGTAAGCGTCTCCCGTCGTACAAAAATAAGAAGAAGAATCTGGTATTATATTTCTTTAAAAAAATTGAATCTGTCATGGTGTAATAGATGAGCACGCTGGACTTGCAACCCCACAGGGCCGCTAATGTGGTTCAATCTCCCGGCGCAGAAGATGAAACATTGGAGCGAGCTTCTGAATTCTCCCCCCCCCGTCACCGCCTCGGTCCATCCAGCAGTATCGATGGATTCCCTGCAATTCGTCGATCGGCATGTCACGTGTGGTTTCGTCAATCGGCGTGTCACGTGTGGTGGGGTGAAGCGTGGGCACTTCCACGTGTTACAAGACTTCTGGCCAGCGTGAAAGAGTAGGCCAATGGTACTCTCTAAATTTGCCCTCTCGTGGTGGACCTTCTGCCAGCTGAGGCGTAAGCAGGCCATGCAGGGCTGCACCTTTTAACCTTTTGTCGTACAGTTATTGGCTATCGCGGTGTCGAAATGTTAACTCCCTCGCCTGGTATGCAGGATATCGTGGGTACGATGCTGACGCCATTATATTGGAGTTTACGTGTCTCTCTCCCCGTGGTCGCGTAGACTTTTCTCCGAGTGCTCCGGTTTTTCCCTCCATATTTATAAACGTGCGTTTAGAGTATTTGGCTGCTGTACATTTATACGTGACAAGCAACTTTGTTGAGCTATCACTTGTGGCCAGGTTGCTTCTGAAAAATAGCTGTATAGCTCAGAGGGCCTTACCTGGTAAAAATATAAATGGTTTAATGAAAATGACCCATGATGTTTTCGATCGGGATTTTTCCAGTTTAATGT